ACGATTCTCCGTTCACCTCGGAGGAACTTGTGACGCTCGTGGCCGAGGTCATCATCATCTTGTGCACCTGCAAGACTCGATCTGAACAGCTTCATGCTGCCCTGTCCCTTGTCACTAAGTATGGACCGTGAAGCCATCAAGATCGTAAATTGGAACGCTTGCTCCTTGAAGAGCAAAAACATCGAGTTTGTTGAGTTTCTCAATGAACGAAACATCGACATTGCCATCATAACTGAAACCCACCTGAAGCCTGAAACAAACGTCTACCTTCCCGATTTCCGGCTCGTGAGGCTAGATCGAACCAACTCTGGAGGAGGAGGAGTGGCTATTGCAATAAGGAGAAACATCTGCTGTCGACTGATGCCCAGCTTTCAGCTGAAGATCATCGAAGCCGTAGGGGTGGAAGTTTCTACTCCTATCGGCCCCATCACCATCGTCGCGGCTTACTGCCCCAAACAAGTCAACATCAGGGACGGATCGGCAGCAGATCTGTGACGAGATATTATCAAGCTAACACGACGACGGGAAAACTTTATCATCGCTGGCGACCTGAACGCCAAACATCAAGCTTGGGGCAACAATCGGCGCAATCAAAACGGCACCATCCTGAACAACGACCTGCAGGAAGCGCAGTACAACATCTTGAGTCCGGAAACTCCCACCCGGTTGAGTCGGTCCGGTGTTCACGCTACCATCGATATCTTCATCAGCAACATGGGCAACAACATCGCTCAACCTATCACCTATCAGGAACTCAGCTCGGACCACTACCCGGTGGTGACTGAGGTGGGATCCTCCGTAAATCGATTTGAAGCTTTCCGGCGCAACTATCATCGTGTTGACTGGGGTCAGTTCCAACATTGCGTCGACACCGCTGTAGACTACGATGTCCAACCGGAATCGTCCGAAGATGTTGACCGGTGTCTGCGCTCCATCGATCAAGCAATTTCCCGGGCCAGGGAGCTACATGTGCCAGTATCCAGACAGGTGAGTAATACTCTGAACCTTGACAGGCCTACTAAAGACCTCATTAGACTCCGCAACACGATTCGTAGGCAGTACCAGCGTACTGGGCTGCCTAACCTGAAGACCAATTGCAACCGTTTGAACAAAATCATCCAAGCCAGGATGGTGGATCTCAGAAATATCGATTTTGCAAACAAGATTCGCTCTCTCCCAGATTGTGCTAAGCCATTCTGGAAAATGGCAAAGATTTTGAAAAATAAGCCGAGGCCCATTCCTCCCCTTTCCTCTCCTAACCAAAATTCGGACCCATCTTTACTAATAACCCCATTTGAAAAGGCCAATGCTCTTGGACAACACTTTGAAAATTCACATAACCTTGGCCACGCCATGGTGAGTCCCCACGAGCCTGCAGTATCACAGGCAATGGCTAGTGTCGCTGCCACCCCCGTAGTTGTCCCTGACGAAAGTAGAATATCGGCTGATGAGGTGATAGCAGCGATTAAATCAACAAAGAACATGAAGGCCGCTGGTGTCGATGGAGTGGTCAACCTCGAGCTGAAAAACTTGAGTGTTGACTTCTTCAAGCACCTTGCAGTGGTCTTCAACAAGTGTTTAATGCTTGGCTACTTCCCTGCATGCTGGAAGTTAGCCAAAGTTATTCCAATTCACAAACCTGGCAAAGACCCTACCAGTGCCAAAAGCTATCGCCCCATCAGCCTCTTGTCCTCCATCTCGAAGCTATTCGAAAAATTGATACTCAGCCGTCTGCTGGTGTTTTCAAATGATAATAACATCTTTCTCAAAGAGCAATTCGGGTTTAGGAAAGGCCACTCTACCATCCACCAACTCGCACGGGTTACTAACATCATCAAGCGGAACAAGTCCGTTTCCAATACATCTGCCATGGCATTGTTGGACGTCGAGAAGGCGTTCGACAATGTCTGGCATGATGGTCTAGTGTACAAGCTGCATCGATACAACTTTCCGAACTACCTCGTGAAGATCATCAAAAACTACTTGAAACTACAGAAAATAAACGTAAATTTTACTACTACTACTCGTATCAGCTCATTTTCGCTTCGGACAGCGTGGTCAGCTATAGCAGCAGTAGGAAGTAGGAACCCAACAAGCAACAATTGACTGGTCGTGGCAAAGGAGGTGCCAATCGTCATCGCAAATTCTTCGAGATAACCACCATCCGCAGCTGGCTCACCGTGGCGGTGTCTGACGTATCTCCGGTCTGATCTACGAGGTGTGCTGAAGGTGTTCCTGGAAAATGAGGTCCGTGATGCTGTCACCTACACTAAACACGCCAAGCGTAAGTGGCCATGGATGTCCTCTTGAATAAAACGGCCCTTTTCAGGGCCATCAAGCTAACATCAGTAAAGAGTTGGAATAGAATTTATCTGTGCTTGTTTGTCCATATTCAGAAACACAAGCCCTCAACGACCACACAAACTTGGAAGCAGGGGTGCAAGTGATTTTGATTGATTCTCGTAATCAACTTTCTCTTTGAAAAAGATTACTACAAATTTGGTACGCCTACAATTCAAAAACGGAAAGAGTTGAGATAATAGATAATTGATCAATTAAAAGAACTTTATGCTCTTCACATTTATTCCGTCCACTAGCGGTCCTACGTCAAGCTTCCGTTCGTGCCCCTAGGCACAGACCCTTCTAGTTTTTACATTTCTCGACGAAAATCATGAACAGTAAAAGATGTTTAGTCTAGATTTATCTTGATATAAAGTATATATTTCAATTAATCTTACCAATTTCAACAAGCCCCGTTTCCGATATAATCAAACTTTTCAAGTATTCGGATGAGTATTTGGTTCACCGAACAATGTGCAGAGCTTAAATATAGGTAATAGGGGAAATGGCTCTAATGTCGACCTATGGATCTAACATTGGGCCCATCGCTAAAAATCTGCTATTTATCAATTTTATCTGGATGAACGCGTCATTGGAACGGTACCAATGGATATTTTTGGTTGCTATTGAAAATTTAGTCGATTGTTGAATTTATGTATTTTTTAGGGACACTTAGGCCAACAATACATACCTTTCCCCTATATTGAAAATATATCTATATAGATCCTAGTCCCAAACAGGTGTGTATTGCTTATAAGCCATATGAAACATTTTTCCAACATTCCTCGCTAACGTAAAACTTTAAAATTATTTTAAATCCTAAAAAAAGAAATCACTGAAAATTAATCAACATTTTTCATGATAATATAAGTCGGCCGACATATATTCGGTGAATCAGTCCAGGGTTTGTCCATACCCGTCTTGTAAGCGGTCACAGTAGTCGATGCATGTTCTGTGATAATGGACTGCCTTTGCTTTCAACACTTATAATGAGAGAGAGAAGGATTAGTAATTTCCATTTAATTCCACTACCTTATTTGCTTATCCTTGATAGATACGCGTATTTCGTCTACAATGTGCAGACTTCTTCAGTGTCTTGTACTAATACTCGACTAATACAAGACACTGAAGGAGTCTGCACATTGTATACGAAATACACTGGAGTCGCTTTTTACGCGGGGGATACGTGCCGCGTAAAAAAAAACTAACAAGATTTTGATTTTTCACATGCTTAAATATTTTTTTATAAACCGGATTTTGATGCCATTCGTAATTATAGCATGCTATGGTCCATATAGACATATTTTAAAAATTTCTGTATTTACACCAAAAATTGTGATTTTTTTTTAAGTATGCCATTCGATTACCTATAGCTTGATACGGATAATGTGATTGGAATCAAGTCGATAGGTTGTATCGTTGTCGAGAAATCGTTAAAAACGTACCGCGTAAATTGCGACTCAGCGGCACTAACCGTGTAAAAAAAACCGTGTAAAAAAACCGCGTAAAGAAAACCGCGTAAATAAAAACTTCGCGTGTCTGTCAAGGATAAGCAAATAAGGTAGTGGAATTAAATGGAAATTACTAATCCTTCTCTCTCTCTCATTATACAGGTATTCCACATTCATCAGGTTTCAACACTTGCAAAACAAGCTATCAAAATACAGTAACCAAACAAAAATGTAATATTTACGAGTGTCTCTCACCACAACAGTTATAATAAACGATAAAAGTTCTGTTTGGAAGCCATGCCAAAAATGCCGAAAAATGTGTTCTCAAAATGTGTGACAATTCTTCAATTAACCACTTCATTCGAGCAGATAAAATGACGTTTACTACCACTCGAACTTTGAAATGAAACATTATTTTGAGATTTTTTCTTCTAGAACCTCGAGAAAAGTAGCCAAAATTTGTGCGTTTCATAAAAAAATAGAAATTAGTTGGTCCAGTTTTGTGAAATCGCTGGTAGAAAGTCACGCCAAAACTGCTTGACAAAGTGGTCAATTATATGGGATATTATCCATATAGATTTTTCAATCCACTGCCCTCAAAATTCAGTATTTCAGCAATCTTTTTCCACGTGGTCATGGAAGGAGATCATACCTACCACGTGCTGCTGTTTTTGACGATTTGACCTGAGTGGCATAATAGCCGTTTCTTCGTTTATGGCCAGCATGGCTCCATATCAAAATCTGGATATTAATATGCAACCTTATTCGCGTTTACGTTCGAACTGTATTTTCCATACAAAAACATAATGTGTATGGAAAATACGTTTCGAATGTAGAAAAGGATAAGGGCGTTTGATAATCAAAATTTGATTTAATCTTAAACATTTCAACCTATATGACAGCCACTGACGGATGCTCCAAGCGTTCGCAGGCGATATGCTCCTAAATGTATATAAGTACACCATGTAACGTATAAAGCTAACATTCAGGCGCATGCCTCAACTGTTATACGAAAAATGGAAAGGTACACCACTGCAAGTTAAAACCCGCGGAGATGTTGAAACGGCAGGTTGTATCTTTTAGCGGACGTGAATATTCACTTCCGCTTAAAGATATGCTATCTGTTTTTTTTTTTATTATTTTCCCGCACGTTTCAACTTGCCCGATGTATCTTATACACTTCACCCATCCCTCTCAAGATCAACTCACCTCGTAAGTAGTGCAATCTTCTCCGGCAGTTTCCTGATCTCATTCTCCTCCAGATCCAGAATCCTCAAATTTCTCAAATTGTACAAACTCTCGGGGAAACTTTTCAACGTATTTCCATTCAATCGCAGCACCTTAAGCTGAACAAATTCACCCAACGCTCTCAGCGCCAGCTCCTGTAGCTTATTCTTCCCTGCCAGCAGTTCTTCTACGGTGGTGCACGATTGTAGGAATATCTCCGGTATTTGTTGCAATCCGGAATCTCCCAAATCCAGCCGTTTTTCGCCATCACCGTTATCTTGTTTAATCTGAAACGAACACATCACATCTTTGTTGAATCGACACTTTTAACACACGTATTTCTTTAACACACTAACATCTTGAAGCACATTGATCTCGTCAATTTTGTCGAAATCGATTTCCAACGAATCAAGCTCTATTGTTTCCACTTCCGAAAACGTAACCCGTGACTTGTTAGATTTTATACTATTGGTACCGTCATTGGTTTTGATAATGCACTTGTTTAGAACCATTTTTGAAAACTCTTCAATTTAATCCCTATGACACAGCGCGACTACATTGTTACGGTTCCGCTTCCACTGTAGAACTAACCAAACGCGCGGTGCCCAAGTAGTAACCTCATTCGGGGAAGGTAAGTATCTCCCAACCCGAATCAAAGCTGCATTACTGCGGGATCCAGTGGAAAACGGCGCATGCCACGGCTTTGCGCACATGTAGTGCATCAAAGTCAAAGAACCATGCGACAAATTGCCGCCTCTATTTACATGTGTGTACACATGGGCTTACAACGCATGTACCATAAACGGGCACCATACCTATACGGTAAAATGTTTATTACATAAAATTATCAATTTGAACGTCGCACGGAGGGGTATTTGGCTAATCTAGCTGGTCAAAATTCAAATTGTAAAAATGGGTCAAGCTTAAAACAAAGTAGTGCATTGAACTCGTTTGATTAATTGGCAAACAATACTGCTGTCTACTCGATTTTCCTTTTTTCAATTCTGTATGCGCACTGGAATAGTTCAAAGATGACATTTTAGGAAAACCCTTTGTGCAATTTTGTAAATGCGTCGTTGATGTTTGTGTTTTGATAATCGATTAACGATATACTTTTAAAACGACAACCTGGATTGAATGTTCACAGGGACGTTATTGAGAACTTAATAAATGAAGCCGAGCTCTAATTCACTAACGAGCAAAAAACATCAAATATGAATAAATTGGATTTGCATCGGGTGGAATCGTGCGATACAAATGAATAGAAATGGAAGATTGCTGCCTCTGCCTACCTTTGTTACAATAAATAGCTGCCTTTTGTACGCTTAAGACATTTTTTGAAAGATGGATGTTAAAAATATCGTTTGAAATTTATGGTGCATTCTGTCGTTTCTAATCAATCGTAATAGCTCTACATTCTCAAAAATATACTCTATTCCGAAGTCGAAAACAATTATTGATTTACTGTTTAAACAGTATGAAAAGTGAATTATCGTGGTCCAAAGAGACATGAATCGTATTTTTTAGCAGTAACTATTCAAAAATAATGTTGGCCAGCTAGATTGGCAAATTTCCCTATGTGCGTCAGTTGATGGTGTATGCTGTGTGCAAGAACTAATGGGGAACATGGATAAATCTGGAGTGAAGCGACAAACGGAAGGTGGTTTATATCTTTGGCTGTGTAGGCACGAGCCAGAATAGCTACGGGTATAGTTATTGGGTGTTTATCCGAGAAAGCATTTTCCATGTGATGTTCAGAAACGCGTAACTCAAAAAAAAACATAATTAAATACTGTCTGGTGTAAACCGTGTAGCAATCATCTGTATCATAATGTCAACAATTATATTTGGAATGTGTAAGGAAATTTGCTGGAATTTATAATGATATCAGTATCATATAACCTTATTCAACATTCGTTTGTGACCAGAGGTTCACTTATTTATATTACTTTTAAATCCATTGAAAAAATCTGATCTTTAACCTTCGCCTAAAATATCCCTTCGTTCAATTGAAAGCTAAACAACGAAATTATTTGCAAGCGCTTAAATTAACTTGAAATATCATTATAATTGCTTATCTTTTGACAGATACGCGTATTTCGTCTACTACTTGCAGACTTCATCAGTGCCAAGTACTCAACACCACTTGGCACTGATGAAGTCTGCAAGTAGTAGACAAAATACGCGTATCTATCAAAAGATAAGCAATTATAACGGAATTTAAAGGAAATAAACCAACACACTCATAAAGGGATTCCGTTAAGAGGTTCGACAAATTTTAAAGATTGAAATATCAAGTAAATTTATGCCAAATATAGCGTTAACTAGGTGTACGCTAGGTAAAGCAGAAATTTAAATGATTTTATCAAACGTTGTAATATTACATATGTATTACCTAATACAACCCTTTTTCATAGTAAAAGAATTGTGATGTATTGTTCTTGTATTATGAAACCCGCTTTTAATACGTTACAACTCCCTAGTCGGAGACGTGGCACACTCCGTATTTAATGGATCATCGAGTTAAAGAGGCAAATTTTCAAAATTTATGAAAGATCCAGAATCTTGAAAACAATAAAGTTCTAAGCTAGGGCACTTCCCCGGCGTAGTGTTTAGCATCCATGCCTCTCAAGCTAAAGTTATTAGCTCAAATTTTATCGTCGATCAGGTCACGAATGACCCAAGATTGTTAAAGTGAGAATATTTTTTTTTAAAAAGATACAATCTTACAACAAATTTTTCTTGTCTCAAAATTTAGAGACTTCAATGAAAATCGAAATTTCAACTGTTCTTCAAACTCTCTGAATGTACATTTTTTAGGCGTTGTATAGTTCTAAATTTGAATCAGGCTGAATTGATCATTAGGCGGTATTTTAGAATTTTGAACTTGATCCTAAAAATTGATGTATGAGCCTTGAAGATTAAAAATTCGAATTTCTAAGGGATGAATTATTTTTTACCGATTTTGTGACCCTCAATATTTTTGTGAAGAAAAGAAGCAATTTTTAAAACGACGTAGGGTAGAGAACTACTTCGGCCTAATCACCCATTTTGGGTCTATCGAGCAGAAAACTTCAATTAAATCCATGAGTTCAGAGTTAACAAGTCAATTATGCGTTTGGTACGATACTTTAGTTAATAAGCTACCGAACGAAGTCAATGCGAACGCGTGATATGAAGGTTTACACCCATTTTTCCAAAAAATGAAAGAAGCGCTCCGACCAAATCAAATTTTTATCTTCATCCGATAGGCCGAAGTGAATTCATTGGCGTTTCAATTGCGTTTCAATGCGTTAGGCCGAGTTTAAAATCCGTAGGCCGAGTTTGGCGTCAAGAAGCAGTGTTGGACTTTTGACAATATCTCAACGATTGGTTTCTCGTTTTAAAATCTTACGGTACGTACGAAAAGGTAAATAAATTTGGAAGCCATCAGTAATAATAACATTCCGTTTGGTGCTAAACTGAACTAGATTAAGAAAGACTAAGTGCGGGTTATGCTTAATAGGCCGGAAATGGGGTAGTTAACCCTATCTGCTCTTCCACGCAAACTAACACTATTATCTTATTGGGGAATCATTTCCCTCTCTGATGGTCATGTTAGTTTGCACAGGCAAACTAAGAGTTTCGATAAATTGACATTTGAATCTTTGTCTACAAAAGTAGGTTTGAGACTTTTGAAAAATCATACTTGAAAAATCTACATTCGTGAAAATTTCAAGATTCCTGACCTAAGAAAATATATAGAAGATGCCGGACTTGGAAAGATTTTCAAGATCTCACATGAAAATGAAAGCCCACATACGGGTCCGTGGAAAATTTTGATGAGAACGAACGGGACTAGATCAACTAGAGATAACTTCAAGGGAATTAAGAAAATATCCCTGGAACTTGTGACCATAAGAAATCCATGTTATTTGTGAGTAATATTACAAAATACTTCTGAGGAGAATTCCTTGGGGATTTTCAGGTGAATTTTCAATAGACACGTCTACAAGTTCTTAATTTTCATGTGCTCTGCTCTTAAAACCCTCAAAACGTGTCACCAAAACCGTGCTCTTACTGCATATAGTTGAGACTTCAATTGTCTGAGGTGAACTCAAGGGAATTTTGAATAAAGCTTATGTATTTCAATGTAGACTCTAGACCAGAGGTTGCATCTAGCCAAGCTTCTCAAAGACGGTAGCAGCGTGATCTACAAATAAGGTAAAACTGCAAAATAAAAAATAAAACCTATTTAAAAATTTGTAAAAAAACCATTCGCTAACATGGTAGCCACCCTCCAGTTCACATCATATCTCCAAAATATAAGCATATGAAAAAATGGTGAAGGCTTAAGGGGTCACGCAACGGGCTTAAGGTTTGTATGGAAATTTAAGCAATTTACTTTGAATTGTAAATTTTACTAATTTTTTTTATTCTAGTTGATCACACGCTGTCAAAATGTAATATATGGCCACTATTATAATGGACAACATATTTACCTGTTTTCGTTTTAATAGAATGTATGCAGTTGACAGGCACATATTTAACCATCAATTTATCATATTTTGGCATTTTTGTCACATTAGAGCAGTATCAAGTCAATTGGTAAAAATTAATAAATTTTTATCATGACCTTCTCCAATTTGTATGAAACTTTGCATAATTGTCTGTCATAGGGAATCATTCACATTTTTGATAAAATTCTGCAATTTTGGATCTTGAAATAATTTATTAAAATTGCGTCTTTGACATTTTTCAATAAACTGTAACACAAAACGTTACTTCTGATCTAAATGACGTCTGAGACAAACTTGTAAAGAAAAATAAAGTCTTTCTAGGAAAAATATACACAAAACTTTTTTCTGTATTTTTTTGTTAAAATCCAATTAAATAAATTCGTTTTGTTTTTTATTTAAATTATATAAATTGAACAAGAACATTTTGAGATATTCAATTTTGAACACTAAACTGCACTAAACAAAAATGTACGTGAAAGATTTTATTTTTCTCTACAAGTCTATCTCAGACGTCATTTCGATCAGAAGTGACGTTTTCGTGCTATAATTTATTGAAAAATGTCTTAAACGCCATTTGAAAAAATAGATAACAGAATTTTAGCAAAAATGTGAACCAAAGTTAGAGCGATATTAGTGAAATTTAAAAATCTTATACCTGTGCACCTTGATCAATATTTAACTATTTTTAGGTCATGAAACAAAGTACAATGATCGCAATCATTTTTCCTATGGTGAAGCCCCATTTTCCTATGTCCGAGAATTAAATTACGGAACTGAGTTCTACCTACCGCTTTTCTCGAAGGGGTTCCAGTCGTTCTGATTTTGCAAGTGAGTAGTGTCAATGGAAAACTAGTCACTCGCTGAAAACCAGAGCGATTGGTTGAAAACCTGGCGAGAAAAAGCGGTGGGTAGAACTCAGTGGGCAAAGCGTTCTTCGGGGGAAAGCTCTACAAGATTCAAACAACGAGTGGGTGGTTTAGTCCTCATACCGCTATTTCTCAGCCCTTTCTTAAACCAATCCAGCTGATTTTTTATAGGTGACTCATTTTATATACTTTTTCTTATCACACTTCGTGATTTCAAGAGCACAAATCCGACATTGTTTGCTTCTCCACAGCAAACGATAAGCAGTCGTTTCAGCAACGTGAATCACATTCCACAAAAAAAATATTGGTCGAAGGACTGCCGAGAAATAGCGGGGGATTCCTAAATAAACATGTATTGCTTTGGAGATGGAAGGTCATAGCTAAATCATAAAATAAATTTTAAATCGTGCGACCCATTTTAAGAATGATTACTCAAACAGGTGTATTCTGAAGTTACCTTTATAAAAAGTAAGTAAAGCCAGCAGGGAGGTCATAGCCGAAAGGAACAAGAATCCTGAAACATGTGTTAGCTAGTATGATTCACGTTTCATGAATCTTTCCTTCCAAAAACCTTGTACTCCTCCATATCCAGCCACCGTTACCAACCAGCATAACAATTATACCATTTTCTCGATTAATGTAGTGTGAGATGATATAACCTCTGTGCTCTGTGTGTTGTTTTAAGCACCTTCTCAATATTTGGCAAGAAATAATGACCTAGTCCGGCGAAGTTTGACATCGTGTGTCTCTGCTACCGCGATGATGGATGTGTACAAGCAGGTGGTATCAGCCTCATGTCGCATGGTTGGATGGTTTTCTTTTGTGCAATTATGAAACTGACAATTTTTCTCCGTTCAACAGGTCCTGCAGGGTGGTTACTTCTGTTGATCAAATCATAACCAAAATCATAACTAAAACACTTGCTATAACTGAACGGGTAGGATTGAAAATAAGAAGAATCAATTATATACTGAATAACATTGTTGAAGAAAAATTTCCCTTTCTTCAGGGGACGGTGAAACTTTTCATTGTGCTGGGTTTAAAGTGCGTGACCCCAAGCAACTTCTGGCTTGTAACTGCATGTGTTCTGCTCGTGGGGTAACATTGAAAGCCCAAGTCCAACTGCTCTCAAGCGTGTCCAATGTGCTCTAAAGTTGTTAATTTATTTATTATGAACGTATAAAGACAGCAACATGGTCGCTTCTTTCTTTTGACGGAATTGTATGTTTTCAAGTAGTTGCACGGAGGAAAAACCCCTTTGAAAGACCCTAAAACACCAACAGAAAACCTCTATGTTGACACTCAACATTACCGAATTGCAAAAACTATTTCAAGGTGAAACCATCAACGTATAAATAATGTCAATGGCAGTTTACCTAGATTTTCCAAAGTCATCATGTGCAATAGGCAAATCATTCGTCATACAGCTAGCGACACATATGATTTCGCAAATATTTAACGCTGTGTTAGCTCCTCATGCTCACCATCGCGATCAGACCATGTGCGTATTGTCTTCCAAAACACATATATTTTTAACATTATCGTCTTCATTTGTGCAGCTGAGCGAACTCTATCCTGTAGCAGATAGGTGCCATGCGTCTCAGTCTCATAAGTTTGAATTAGGCTCTGACAAGCCGCCATCTACTACGTATCATGTTAGTAGAGCGCGATTGTCGAACCGTATCGAAATCTTTGATGGTCATTTGAAGCATTCAAATGGGTTATTTTATTGATTTAATTATATAAAAGGAAACGTGCAGTAACGCTTCTGTATGCAAACAGTAATGAAATTGTATAAAATATTTCAATATTCGCCAATGATGTGCAAAGCTATATTAAATCGTACTTCTGATCTAAGCAGAAATGCAAATTATCATCATGTCATGTCAAATATATTGATGTGACTAATTAATTCTACGATTATAAAATAGTGATCCGCTGAGCTGCTTGAACGAACTTAATTAGTTAAATTCTGCGAACGCCTACGATGTCCAAAGTAGAAAACGCATATTACGACAACAAACTACTCTTGGTCGCTTTTCACGCTACAAAAGCCCATTTGATGGACGCCCTAATCGGTCCGGCTCGATCTGAGACACGAAAGTCTTCTTTGCCTTACAACCAGCGAATGGGGCTACCTGGTCAGTAACGCATGAGTGACTCTCTTAGCAAAACCGCACTCCATTCCTATGCACACACACACACACACTGTTCCTATGCACGTTGGAGCTCGTTGGAAATCGTTTCTCCTCAAAGGCCGAACAATTGCCTCAACACGACGTTACCGCCACCAAACCGTCAGGTAAATTAAATGGAAATTTCTTATAGACACACTTTATTCATCGCCAGCAGTGTTCTTACCTCAGACAACCAATCGCTCCACTGGTCACGTTCCCAGGATTCTTCGAAGCCCAGAAACAGCACTGTCTCTCGGTCGTTGATTGAATGGACGCTGGCATTGCTATTGTAGAGATGTGTCGTACTGGTGCTTTCGATCAACCGATTGATATTCTCCTTTGTACTGCTTCCATTGCTATTATCGTTTGACTTTGGCACTATTTTTATGATCAGTCGATTGTAACCGGGCGTGTGCTCGTAGATATCCGCTCCCGATAACTCGTATACTTCCGGCGACATACCCGAACCCGCTAGTAGAATAGATATCAATTAAGTAATTAGTTATACATACCGTTATTTGTCCAATCAAACGAATAATACCTGGAAAAACAACCAGTTTGCTTCCAATGATCGACAGGTAGCGTCTTCTCCATTGCGGGAAGACCAGTCCTTTGAGAATCTCTACGGAGCCCGAACGGAGGACTCCCTTGCACATGGGAATCTCCGCTGGACCAATGTGGAAACGAATCAAATGCTTCAGCTCCGGATCGATTCCGAGCCGAGCACGTCGTGACTCGTCCAGATAGCCAAGGGATTTAAGGAATTCTTCCTGCACCAACAGCGGGTATTCGTTCTCTTCCAACCGGCGCGTTTTAGATCCACCGATTTGGACCTATCAAAAAAGAAAATAAAATGTTTTTGTAAGTCGAGATAAGTTGGATGAATCCTTTAATATGGTTAAATTACATTGCTAAAGTATGAGATTAACTAACCAACTGGCTAGGTAAAGACAAAAAAACTTTGCTACAGTAGTGATGAACCAGCTTCGGCACAAAATCAGTTAAGTAAAGCAATAAAAAAACATTTCTAAAGTTAACAGGACATAAATTGTGGAAAATAAGGTCTAAAAGCCATTCATAAACTTAGTTTAATTGCATTTGTATTTAAGTACGCGTCCATTATGTTCTTAGAATAAAATAAGCAGTTCCACACCAAATGATGAATCCTAAAAACTCGAACTTCTTCGATGTGCATGAATCTCTGCATAATTGTTTGATATGGGCAATGATTCACATTTTTGCTCAAACTCGGCCATTTTGGATCTTGTATTTATTTTTTAAACGTCTTTGAAATTTTTACAAAGTTTAAAAAAAAACAAAAAAACAATTTTCAAAAATATCTTAAAATCCTAAATACCTTGACCGATTTTTCAATTAAAAAAAATGAAAAATGCAAACTTCTCGAATGTTTAAAATTATGGACACTTCATAATTGTCAAAACCCGTAGAACCAGAACTTTTGGTCACATTTAACTTTTTGTAATTTATACTCATTGAATAATGTTTGAGACGTTTTAAATAATTTTAAGTGGAAAAAAAAACAAACACAAAAAAGCGTACTAATACTGTTCTTTGATTTTTGTCAGTTTCCAAGTGTCGATGGTTTTTAACATTCCACAAATTTTCAATTCTCATAAGCTTTTTTTAGAAAAAATAAATCTTAAAATTCGAGCAAGACGATTTTGAAACATTTGGGTTTTCATTTATTTTTTTTTTATTTTTACTTATCACAAATAAAAAAATGTTTTGTTTATTTTTACCAGAAAGACATTATTTCTCTCTTACAAAGTACAACCAAGAGGCGTAGCGGCGCCGGTGGTGTGCTGGTAAGCGTGATTACCTCTCACTCCAGCAGGCCTGGGTACCATCCCAATCGGCGCCGCCGAGATGTTCTGAGGCACGCCGTTCGAAACATTCATGTCAATTTCTGCGAGATAGAGCACACATAAAATTAACGCTAGATTTGGCATAGATTTATGCGATATTTCGTGTAGCGCAATATCGCATAAATTAGCAATATTGTATGCAAGCTTGTAAACGATTTCGCTGTTTATGCCAAGTATAGCTCAACATTAAACGAAGGGAGATTTTACGCGACAGTTAAAATTCAGAATTTTTTCTGTGCATAACATCTCTGATCACACCGAAGTAAAGCCGTTGGTCCCCGGTTCATGAGTTGATGGGTCGGTAGGTAGGGTCCAGGTGTGGGAGCTGCCTCCCCGGCGTCGGTAGCATTGGTGCTCAGCACGGAAAACAAGATCAACGGAAAACAAATTAAGGAAAAAAAAAAACCGAGGCGCCAACATGGGGATTTTTTCTAATGTAATCACACATATTTAAGATAGTTCATGTGCTTTATAATTGATGAAATTTTGAATCTCCGTTCTATTTGACATGCAGATTACGAATATGTAAGTATGGTAGCTAAAAACATCAAATAAATCCATTGTTTCAGAGTTGATAAGTCAATTATGCGTTTGGGACGATATTTAAGTTCAAAAACTACCGAACGAAGTCAAAAAGAACGCGTGATATGAATGTTTACACCCATTTTTCTCAAAAACAAAAGAAGCGCTCCGACCGATTCAATTTTCATATTCATCCGATAAGCCGAAGTGAATTCAATGGCGTTCTAATGGCATTTCAATCCGTAGGTCGAGTTTATGGTCAAGAAGCAGTGTTAGATTTTTAACAATATCTCAAAAATTTATTTCTCTTTATCAAATTTTACGGTACGTACGGAAAGGTAAATAAACTTAGAAGTCATCTACAATGAAAACATTCCATATAGTTAAAAAAAAATCCACTCGAAAAATAGAGTTCATGGGTTTACTCACAAGCTCCTCCAAAAACAAAACAATTACTACGGTCGCATCGCCTGATTATGCGAATCCTGACCCATCTATCCAACTCCGTATTATATATGGGGGCGTCGGTGAGTCGCAGGCCTCCCGTCAAGTAGATGTTATCCTTACAATATCCTTACTTTCTCCGTAACGGAGAAGATGGGCGTGGCCGGCAATGGTGATTATCCATGCTTTTCCTGTTCCGAATTTGATTGGAGAGCTCTTCACTCCCAAATAGTTTTCCTTAAGAATAAGAACGATAAAGTAGATACATGACAGTTGCCAGTATATAATCTACAAATCACTCCGTTACAAACGCAAACGCAACGCAACTTCGTTTCGATCATAAATCTCGTGTCCGTGCTATTTATTTTTTTAATTGCAAGGGAACCATGTTGAAATTTTTACAAAATCCATAATGGCCGAATTTTAGCAAAAATATGAATCATTGCTCATAACAAACAATATCACATTGATTTATATAAATCAGAGCAATTATTTATACAAAATTCCGCAATTTTTCCTGGAATTGCTTTTGGGTGAAATCAGCTTAATTTATAAATAGAGCTCAAATTGTATACTATAGAAAACTTCAACAACGATTGAGCCATTATGGTATGTTAACTAAATTACAACTAAATCATAAAAACACATTCATCCCAACACACTATTATAAAACACCTACAAAACAATATCACGTCCCAGAAGAAGACCCTAACCCTGGATCGTAACGTTGCACAGAGGAGTAACTGGAATAAAAATGATTTCAAAATGTGTAAAAAGTGTGTTTAAAAAAAATTAATTTAAAAAATATATTTTTAGTTATTCTACTGTTCAATACAAAAACGACGTCAAATTAGTTGGAGTTTAAATCTGTGGATATCACAAACTTTGAAAGTGATAAGCCGGGGTTAAAAGTTTGGCAAGGCACCCATAGCAGACGCATGATATGGAGGGTGTCCATTCGCATAATGCCCTTCAAAAAGGCAAAAATTCCAAGTGTGAGCTTGTACAACGAACTATTTTTTAATCTGAACAAGAAATCGAACGATAATAATCGATCTAGTGGATTTTTTGAGCGTTTGAGATCGATTCAAAAAAATCTATTAATCGATCTTCCAAGCTCCGATTCAAAATCACCCAATACTATAGTTTCTAATTCTCATAGCCAAGATAGTTTATGTATGTCCACTATGGACTGCTAATTTTTGAAGTTGTAATAAATTTTAAAAGCCATGTTAAAACTCAATACTATGATGTTATAAATTGTTTCTGAAATCTCGGTATTTCAAGTTCATAAATTGACACAAATTTTGGGATCATAGAAAAATATGTTTGTTTAAGATCCTATACTAAGGAAAGTTTCCTGGCGTTTGGGACTAAAATTGATTCTAGAATTTAAAAAAACTCAAACACAGATAAATTTAAAATAATTACTTCGATATGTCGTAAATTTCCAATGTTTCAATTTTTCTATTGGACTAGATTTAATATAACATTATATGCAACGCCGATGGTGTAGTGGTAAGCGTCACTGCCTCTCATCCCAAAGGGCCTGGGTTCAATACCAGTCGGCACAGTCGGGATTTTCTGAATCATTAAATCTCTGATCACGCCTTCTTTCGGAAGGGAAGTTAAGCAAGCCGTTGGTCCCCAGTCCATGAGTTGATGGGTCGATAGGTATGGTCCAGGTGTAGGAGTCGCCTCCCTGGCGTAGGTAGCATTGGTTCTTAGTACGGAAAACAAGATCTACGGAAAGCAAATCATGAAAAAAATAATAACATTATATTTGATACCCACTTTGATGATCAAATGCCAAAATGTGCCTTAAAATCATCGTCATAGAGGATTTAAAAAATGGAACAAAACAAGCCGTTACAACTTTTTTTTAATAGTTTGGACCCTAAAAAATCTATAAAAAAAATTAAAGAGTTAGGTTTGCCTTGATTTGGAAGAATTAGACATATTTTGTTGATATAAGCTAAGGAAAAGGGACTTTAAAAAAAAAAATTAGTTTCCTCTAAACAACATTCAGAGGGTTAGCCCCCAGGTTTCCCGATAAAAAGCTATGTCGGGTAACCCTAATCCACGAGGTTCGCTAAATTATAAGACTCGTAATTTACTTTTTTCATGAGTTATTATTTTTAGAATATTTTTTTCTAGATATAGTTTCTACTATTCTACTTCGTCGTAATCGCCCATTTCCGTTCTATCGATCAGAAAAGATCAATAATATCAATGATTTCACCGAGCACAAATCAACGATAAGTTTTTTGCCGATGCATTAGTTCATTAGCTACAACATAAATCCTATTAGAGCGCTTTGTATGAATATGTACACTCATTGTTCTCAAAACAAAAGAAGCACTCCTAGCGAATCCCCTTTCTCTACGTTTATCCGTAGGACGAATAAAATCTAATGGCGTTTCAATGCGTTAGGACGGAATTAAAACTCGTAGGACGAATTTAGAATCAAGAAGAAGTATTGGATTTTAAACAATATCTCAACAATTTGTGACTGTTTATAATATTTATATTATGGAAAGGTGAATAAATTTAAAAGTCATCTTTGACAGAAATATTCCTGTTTTATTTACAAACCCGTTTAAAAAAGAGAGGTAAATCGCGGGTTGTACTCAGTAGGACGGAATTAGACCAAAAACCCTATTTAAGCCTCATGTGCAAAATTTCAGGATAATCCGACAAGAATTGAATTGTGTCATAGAGGCAAAAATCAATAACAGTAATGACACATTGATCTTTCATGGAATTCAATGTAAATTAATAGCTAATTTCAATTGCATCTTTTTTTTTATTCTTAACGAGAAAAACTAACACTTACATACATACAATGAAATTACCTAAAATCCGTTATAAACATGGTTTATCTAAGCTATTATATTACTAAATCACCATTTTACATTGAAAATAATGTTTAGACATCTATAGCTAAAATATGCCTAATTGCGTCAGTACTAGGGGGTTTGTACTGTCTGAAAAGGGTTTTCAAGACCTTTCTAAATACCTGGACCACATTTTGCTCATGTTTGTGCCTCTATGTTAAAATTTATTAGTTTCAAAAAGATCTACTTTTTCTGTTATATTTTGGAGCCACCCTAGAATTTCGAGTTTTTCTTAATCTACAGTTCAAAAAATAATTAATGATATTAAAATAAATCAAGACAACGACCCAGAGAAAGATGAGATTATGATTTTTAACTTTACATGATATTTACAATAAAAAAAACATAATTAAAAATTTAGAACCACCCTAAAATATTAGATATAGTACAGTAATACATAATTTTAAACGGCGCCGGTGGTGTAGTGGTAAGCGTGATTACCTTTCACCCCAGCAGGCCTGGGTTCAATCCCAGTCGGCGCCGCCGGGATGTTCTAAGGCATAACATCTCTGATCACGCCTTCCTTCGGAAGGGAAGTAAAGCCGTTGGTCCCCGGTTCATGAGTTGATGGGTCGATAGGTAGGGTCCAGGTGTGGGAGCTGCCTTCCTGGCGCGTTGGTAGCATTGGTGCTCAGCACGGAAAACAAGATCGACGGAAAACAAACCAAAGAAAAAAAAAAATACATAATTTTGAATGCAAAATGTGGATGATTAATTGTAACACTTTCCCAGGTAGGGACTTCCCTTAGCTCAGCCGGTAAAGGCGCAGCTATAAAGCAACACCTGGTCCGGTCTAGGAATTTCCCGGATTGGACATTTGTTCGATGTTCCTGTAATTAGAGTATGATTGTACTTGCCGCACAATATACTAATGCAAAACTGGTAAAGGCATAGAAAGCTCTTAATTAACAACTGTGGAAGTTCTCAAAGAATAGGCTCAAGTTGAGGGCCAGCGTAAAGTCCCACTGGGGACGTCTTCTTTTTCTAGGCTTTTTACGCCTTTCCGATTCTCAACTTCCTATGCATGAAATTAAAAAAAAATCTATTGTGACATACCCATACGTATTTTTGTGGTACGACATAGTGGAAGCGTGTGAGCATAGTTGGAGCATATACCCTATATAATTTAAAAATCAGATAAGAAACTAACTTCAAAGGGAAGCATTTTAGTCACTTGAAGGTGTCACCTGGATCGAACTAAGATATAATAAATAGATATAGGTCAAAGTCAAAAGTACTTGAAACACGTTGCATGAAATTTAAATTAAAATGATACTTTCCCCGGCGGACATGACCAGGTGTAACCAATGTGTTCTATGCCGCTAAATATATTTCCATAGTCTGGCTACTTCTCGGGAGAACCGGCATTACGTTTGGGTGTGTCCAATGTGGCCGTGAATACACCTATGACCTTTTACCTAAACTGTCGTGTGATTTTATATGTCGTATGATAGGTTTCGGCTTACATCAGATTCTGACTAATTCCAGGGTGGTACTAGGTGGTAGCATGTCCAGTTGTGACCAGTGTGGTACTAGGGTGCTTTATTTTGAAAATAATAAATGTAATTGCAATCATAGCAGTCCCAAACGTTGCAGACATTTTAAACATTGCAACAGACTAAGCTCGTTGTAATTTATATCATACCTTGCTGCATGATTTGTTTCGAGACCTATCTCGCAATGATGTGTCTCAATGCAAAAATAATTCACATTGAAAACACGGCAAGATGAATAGTTCTCATATTTCCTCCGCACAACATGCTTCTAGACCTGATTTCCAATAATGCAATTGAGTATCACCTACTATAGTACACAAGTCAATTACCCACGAGGATTATTTTACAACCCACCACTATGATCAATGATTCCTTACCCACAGAGTATACTCCATCGGCAGGTCCATATCTTTCACCACATCCAGCGTAGTTGCGGTGGTGATTACATGCACCATCCGGCTCGGATCTTCACAGCTTACATCACTCCGATCCGGACCGCAGTAGACACGGATCCAACCACTGGTGTTCCACAGCAGTGACATTTTCGACAGCGTCAAGTTGACCGGTTTCCCGCTGGACACGCCAACGGATCTAAGGGAACCACTTTTACTAGTCAACCCACCACCACCGAGCCTGATAGCACTACCATTGCACTTGACGACTGCACTGTTATTATTATTTTTATCACTATCGCCCGGACTGGTTGATTTATCATAATTTATCTCCGCATTCACCACGATACGGTTGGGAACTTTCTGCACTTGCTGCTGGAGCTGTTGCTGTTGGATCAGTTTCGCATTTCTTCGCTGCTTGATTGATCGAAGCGTCCCATTGGTGTGCACTTGCTGCTTCGGTTTTGCGCCGCCACCACAATTAAGCAGCAGATCTTGCCGGGCTGCATTGAAAGTCACGATTTCCATGGCTATTTTTTTGTTTTCGATCGTCGCTTCCGGTACTGCACTACTTTACTTGATAAATATGCATTCAAATACTGAAAAACTGCATCGTCCATTCATTATCTATGCCATATTTTCTCATCGGCACGATAACACTGATTGATTTGAAATTCACTGAACATGTGTTACTACATTTCACGCGAACTTGAACACAGCATCCAAGTGCATTGAAATTAGGAAATTTGTTCGCCTTAGTTGTTGGTCAATGGAATCCCATAAATCATGTAGGAAATAAACTCCAAACCAACCTATTACATCATCACTAAAGAGCAATGAACTTGTTACAACTTCGATTCATTTGAACTTCACACCGCGCGTAGTTTAAATTCACCACTGCCCTCAATTTTCGAACACCTGTTGATCACACACACGCTACGTGCACCAAACGGTGTACAACATATCACCCACTACTGTTCAACAATGTCAAATCCAAGTAACAATGCACGGCCCCGTCCGCGGAAAAGCAACTGTATCAGTAGTAACGACAAAACACCGATGCCATGTGAATGGGATCTCGGAAAAGCACAGAATACCGGCGCGGCCCACGGCTAGTCAACGACTATCATCAACGAGCATGCGGCTTCCAGTCTCAGAGCCATCCGCCGCCGCTGGACGATGGTTACGATGGCGAGCTGGATCGTGGACTCGTCGTGTGTACTGAACGGTTGCAAGATCCAAACAGATATTACTGGCCAGCCAGCCAGACGAGACCCAAATGGCCAAGAAAGGGATGGAATGAAAAGTGAAAAAAAAGTACACACATACGAACAAACAAAAAATAATTCAAATTAAAAACAAAACGCGTCATGCTTCACCTGGTATCTACCGACTGACCGCGTGGTGTGTTGCAGCAGATACCTTCATGAAGACGCCGCCGTCCGTCATCGTCGTCGACTGTTGTTGTATTCGTGGAGGTGTGTAATGTTGTTGCGGGTCTAATGAATATGTGATTCCATTCGATGACGACTATATGTGAGACAGGTGTGGAACGGAAGAGGGTCTTTTTTTAAGGGCCCTAGAAAGGGTGCTGATACGGTGAAAGAATTTTGAGTGAAACAAGTGCTTCCTATTGGAAAACTAGATTCAATTCACCTGGGAGGCGGTTTTTGCTTTTCGCAACGGGATCATGTTACCTTTTTTTTTCGAAGGTATTCTTTGTAATGAACACACTTGACATAAAAGTCATAACAGACGCGAAATATGGTTCAATCAAACGTACTTTTCGTCGGGCAACGAACTGTTCAGTCTCGGAGCACTTAATAGTACATGACATGTTTGTTTAGATCTCATCTTTTATGCCAAAGGCGGATTCGGTCACGTGCAAAATTAATTATTTCTAAGTGTGTAAAACTAAATTATACATTTATCATCATCAGACATTAGACTGGCCCACATTTATATGAGTTGGCGCTTTTGGTTTAAAGTTTATATGGGGATTTTTTTTTCGAAATGCCTGGAGAAATAACCACCCCTATTCTGTATTTCGTTTGAATTTTTTTGAATGAAAATTTCGTTTAGAACGAAATACAGAATAGGGGTGAACATCTCTTGACTCATTCGTGCATAAAACTAGTTTAGCAAATTCGTTTAACCTCGTTTAAGTAGTTTAAGATATAAGAAATAACTTTGCTGAAGACAGCATCATGATTCAAATTAGTATTATGGAGATATTCATTCTTTAATTTATATGTGCGTTTTGTTCGTATATTGCAACAAAATACAGGCAACGTATCAACTAGATTACCACTAAACAAATAAAAGTTCAAATTTTCCACTCGCCAACATCCAAACTCGTGTCAGTAGGTGAGATAACCACTCTCTGAATGTTTCAGCTATTTCTGACGTAACACGGACTGGTGCTTTTGGTTTAATGGTTATATAGGGGATTTGGTTTAAATTTCCATATACAAATTGCTGATATACATTCAATAGCAAATATCTCAATAAAACTAAACAAATTCTTAATGCAGTCTTCAGCAAAGTTGTTACTCATTGTTTGTACTCATCTGAATCAAAGAAGATTAAGAAATCTTTTTTATGATCGATAGAGTGTAAGAGTGTTATTTTTCATGTATTTAACCAACTACCAAATGAACTAAAACTTTCTGAGAATGATTTTCTCACCTAAAGGTACAAATCTAGAGGTTGACCCGTGGACATTTGGAACTTTTATTTTTGTGGGCAGGCTAATAGACATGGGTATATGAGAAAAAAAAACTATGAAGCTCATTTGGTAAAAATTCTTCAATTTGTAGCAAACTACCGGCGGACCACCCTATTTCGGCTAATATACGTACCACGAGAGGTCTATTATCCTGAGGTTCTCGTCAACTATTGTAAGTCCCGGGCTACTCCAAGCAAACTTCTGTCAACAAGCCCCCAAAAGACCCTCAACGGACAATCGGAATACCATATAACCACCTCTGTCAGGCCGCTGGATCAGTGAATGTTGAAGTCAATCCCGTTGGGCCACGAAGGATAGCCTAGACAACCCTCGTTAGAACCCTCATCAAACCGACGGAATCCCAATCCTCGCGTGCAGTCACCGAGACTCCTGCGCCAATTCGGTGTTGTTTTCTTTTTTGAGTTATATTTTTTTGAAGTTATCAAGTTTTGGGTTTTCGCTCAATACTCCTATGTGACTCTTTTTTCATACAGCACATGTTTATCCAGCACAGGTGAGGTGACATCTTAGGGATTCGAAGGTGAAAAGTAACACGCAATGGATTAATGTAAGCTATCAGTTTTAATATCACCGCTACTCACAGCATGACATCACCTTTCATCGGCAAAAACTTATTCAAAACAAATAGGTATGAAGATTTGAACATTATTCCAATAATATCGGTTTTAGAAGCAAAACAGGAAAAAATATTTTGTAGGCTAGTTCGGTAAAAATAAAAGCTACCACTTGTACCAAATACTTTTTTTAAATGGATCTAATTTTGTAAAAAATTAACATTTTGGTTTTCTGCATACTAAATAAATCGCCGTAACATTTTTTTTAATAAGCAATATCTGTTACAAAAATTAACCATCCTGTTAATCTATTGAGAAATATTCTTGACAAAGAACTAACCAAAAATATCTAAAATCTGTGCCTAAGGAAAAAAACAATAGCGGACTTCAAAAAATATAGGACTTTAAAATAATGATTAGATCCAGGACTAAACAAACTTACAAATTTTAAGATCGCGAACTTCAACAAAATTTGGGATCGTGGACTTGCAAAAATATTTAAATTCAGACTATTAAAAAAAACTATTAAAGCTGCTAGCTTACAGGAAATTGTAAGACCCTGAAATTGTATTTTGCCATCCACCTACCTGGCTACGTCCATGGAAGTTTTGCAAGTTAGTGATGACATCAACTGGTGAGAATTTTTTAATCAGAATTCCTTCCAATCAAGAACAAAGAAAAGTAATCCAACCGTAAACTCATTCAATTAATTTAAGCTTCGTTATTCTGTTCTCAAAGGTCGACCAGCACTGGCTGTTAACGAAAAGTATCTTTTATCGCAATCGGAGTAATAAAATGGTGAATTTGAGCGTACTAACTGATCAAATATCACTTATCGGTACTTCCCCATGATTTCGGTGCGATAGTAAGTTTTACAACTGAAATATTCAAAATTGTGCGAAAATAATTCTCGATCAAGAAGAAATCAACAACAAATAAACAACAAATAACAATAAGCAACAAATAGTAGCGTTCAGAGTGCAAAAAATCATGATTATATTCAGGAAAAATATACGAATGCAAAAATGACTCTCAATTAACAACTGCGATGAATATCAAATAATATTAAATTAAGGGCAAGCAAGAAGTATATAAGAAGAAACAGACGTGTAGCATTTGAGTATCTCCGATAGCGGTCAAACTTAACTCAGTCACTAACAAAAAAGACATCCATATCAACAGGAAGAATCGCCCCAAGCCCTAATGCACTTTCAGTGTCAATCTGCGTTCTACCTCAGTGAACTTCCGTTTTGAGTAGAAACACCATTGTCGGGGGATGTTACGCTGTACCCAAAGGCCATGCCGAATGGTAGCATCTCAACGTACGGTTAGTACAATAAGGCAAAGAAAACATCAATGATGAATGACTTTTCGTTGACACGGTTCTGCCTATATGGGAAAATCTGAAGTTCGAGGTGAAAATTTATTCCGGCATGTGGGGATGTTCGAAATCGTTCGATAAGTGCAGACATTGATTACCATTCTGCAGTGAATGCAGTATTATTTATTTATTTATTTAAATACAACACTCAAAGATTTTTTTTCAGATACATGTAATTTAAAAACATCAATTTCTGGCCAAACTGATTCATGCGAGCGACACCCCAACGGCAGCACTCGAATAACCAGAAGCTGCCGTACGATGACCTTGTATTGTTAACTGGATGGTGGTCACCGCGAACAGCGCATCGTGTCCGGTGATTATCTCTGCGCGGAACTTCCCGCGTCTATTGAATACACACTCTACCTGTTTTAGCTAAGCCTCCTATATTTAAAAAAAAAAATCAAGAAGATGTTTCGCACAGTGACCGGGTGTAAATTAAGTGAGTTTAATGTTTTGGTCATTTTTATTTATCGCAGAAGGGAAAGGAACACGCATCCGAAAAGAGGAAACGTCTTGTGGAATAAAGATATTCTCACCATTCTTACCGGAGCAGTTGAATGTGGAATAATTTCCAGAAATTTAAGAGAACGCGTTAGGAATACATTAGGAGGAAAAATGTTATTCGTCACAAGCCACGGCGTGTGGGGGAAGATCGCGAAGAATGAGGCTTATAAATGATTCCATGAGTATGATTTGCGACTTGTTATTCTGGAGAATTTTGCACTTGGATTTTTTTTTAGTTCTCTCTCTACCCTGAAGGAACACGTTAGTACCTTTCCTACAACAATGTAACTTTCTTCAACGACTTTGGTGATGGCTAATGTTTAGCGCTCAATTAGTGACTGGTTTATGTTATATGAATGACGAAGATGACCGTCGCGATTCCAGTCACGTGAATTTGGCATTTAGTGTTATGTAGGTTTGTTTGTGCCACGTTGGTTGGCATGCTGTTTGCACAGGTTGCTTCGCTTTGTTTTGCAAATTGAATATGCAGCATGGTTGATGGTAATAAAGTTTCATGAATACGGTTAGCCATTAGCTTAATGGTTATTTTGAAAACATTTCGTTTGCAAATAAAGCTCGAAACTTGTTTTGGAGAACGAGACTGCAACTGAAGCATCTAATTAAGGATTTTTCTCCAATTAATGTGACCTTATATCTATTCAATTTAAGGCATAATTTGCCCCATAGGTGACCCCATTAACTTATATAACATTATAATTACATCACATAAATTATAATCGCCAATTATTTAGTTTTCCAACTCTTATGTGATTTGATGTGCCATATGATGGGTTTTGGTCCAAGTCAGATACTGGCCGTTTCCAAACGAGTATCCGGAATGCAAGCGGCTTAGAAAATATCGAAATTTGTGTGCGATGTATCCTGGTGTTTTAAAATAAATGCATATCTGATATTCATTTTTTCCATGAATTTCTGTGGTAATGATATTTTTGTAAAAAAAAAATGCTTCCAGTTTCAATCTATCTGTTGATATCAATATAGTTATTCCACTAGACAGTATCAAAACACCTAGTCCACAAATCAGTACACTATTAAAAGTTGATTATGAATGCCTACCATACTCAAACTAGTATGTTAATTTTATCACGATCTTGTGGTTTCATTCAGAACCATCACACATATTTACTGTATTGTAATTCAGACGTAATATGAATGACCGGATTAAGTTCAACGGAGAAAAAAAAATCCTCGAAACTAAAACAAAATGACAGACCTTTTCTTTCATACAAAAACATTTCGTGATTTCTCAAAACTGAATATAAGTAAATTTAACAAAATAATCATTTTAATCTTCATTACGATCCACAACATACTATAATAAGGATTTTTTTCTTACAGCGACTAACATAAGTAAATATTCAGCCCTACACGATAGTGATTACGAACTGTTTCAATGAGCATGTATTACACATATGGCACAACGACGGTGTAGTGACAACCAACTACACACTCCAACAACTTCCAACACCGCATCTATCATCATCAGTCATGAATCTTCCCCTGGCAGGTACAGGTGGCCAGACAGTTCCGCTGCCGCTCCAACCCTTCCGGTGTGACCGTGTTGCAAAGCCAACCGGGCCACGTTTTATAAAGCTCCCGGCAGTTCGCCCACAGATCTGCCGAACTACACGTATTGGTACATAATCTGAAACAATCGAACCAAAACGATTATGCAATGCTACTGGAAATATGACATTTAAAAAAAAGCTTACTTAATCTTCTTCGAGTGGCAATGCTGATGGCAGGAACCGCATGGTCGGCCTCGTTTATATGGCGTGCCCAGTTTGTCTTCGTGGTTTCCGCTGGAAATCGAAATGTAAATGAAGCATTGCAGTACGAATTTTACATCCATCATTGAGCATGCAAACTGTTAGCAACTGTTCGTTTCTGTACAGCAGGAGCTCGAATGGTCGAATGATAAATGGAGCATAGAATTCGCCCAAATTTAATTAAACTAGAGCTGCCATTCAGTTTGTTTGGTTACGATTCGGCAGCGTTACTCAAATCAAATTGAATTAATTAACATCAATTGGTTACGAAAACCATACTTACATCGGACAGTAGTTGCAAACATAATTGTAGAACGGCTTTCCCCGAGGACCACCGCGGGCACACTTGGTCAGACCGCAGCCAACTTTATGCGTTGCTGCCCACACCATCTGCGTATAGTGTCCAACCGCTACCAAATCGTTTTTATGCGATCCATATGTGAAATTCTGCCGCTCCAGAAACCACGTTTTCAGTGCAAATAACCTATAAATACCACACAAAAAAAACTATATCACATTCAAAGTAGAAGCAGCTAGTAGTGCGTTGGTGGCAGCGCAGGTGAGAAGTGCGATGAGCCGTTTGATTCGCCGTAAACGTTTCACGAATTTTACGACCAAATATCTGATTTGCGAAATTGTGATGACCAAAACGTTTGGCGCCACAAGAACATTTTCTGCGAAGCTGCTATCCATTAGCATCCAGTCCTGAACATTTGTTTTTCTAAGCAGCGAACGATATTTTACCCTTAGAATCAGCTTGACGAAAATAGCGTTTACCGACTCCCGACGCTGCGCAGACTTCAAAGTGAATCATTTAAACATAACAACAACTTAATGGAATTACTCCCTCGTATCTCTGACAAATTGACACAAGATATCAAAAGACGTTGATCTCTAGGTTACTGAATTAAAACTCACCAGGGCACCTTATGGGTGGAGACGAAGATGTTTTGACCACACGCACCGTAGTTATCTGTCCAGCGTCCCTTCGGGCTGTCGTGGGTTAGCAGCCGGCACTGGTCCGCCCACTTTTGAGCCGATCGCGCCGCTCCGTAGTGCCACTTCTACACAGACAGAAAGGGGAAGGAAAAGAAAATAAAACATTGAAAATCTACGATAGAGCCAGATGTCTTCAAGAGATAAGTCAATCGCCGTTGAAGAGACACTACAAACACACGTGATTCATGCAAATGAGCTCCGAATGATTCTATCTAAACATGATTCGAACCCGTGTTCTGATGGTGTAGTTCAAGTTGGGAACATTAATTCGTGATTCGAAAAAAAGATCAGAACGCAGTACGTGAGATCATTAAATTAAATCGGGGATGAGCTCTATTTTACTATTATTCAAACAACATCATAGGTGTTGATCAACATAAAAGTTTGACATCAAGTCAAGCTTAACGCGTTATCCATAATTGATATTGTTGTCGTTGTTTCGGGAATGTAAATATACGCTAGTTTGGAAAGTTGAATCGCCTTATGAAATATTTATCAAGCAAAACGAGTTATAGCCTCAACATTTGATTTGATGGCACTTTTCACAAAAGCTTCCACGCCTTCCCATGAAAACATTTAGCATGGAATACTTTTTTAGAATGAATATGGTAAACAACGTACACAAATAGAACACTGATAGAAATAATGAAAGAACGTAATGCCATAACTAGAACACTTATTACCATACACTATGCTATTTGATGTAAGTCCTGTTCTATAAATTTGTTTGACTTGTCCAGTTGTCTGAGGTCTAGATTGTTTAACGAGATCTAAGATCTAGAAAAAGTTTCTTAGTCTGGCCAGCGATGCCAGACATACACTCTGTGTTTATACAGATATTTGATCATTTATACTTCACAGAGAGTACAGACGTGATGCAGGCTTTTGGGAAAAAAGTTGCAGATACAAACATTGATATCCATCAAAACCGAAAAACAGTTTCTGTAATCAATTGATTTGCTTATACATATATTTTTTGCACAATTTTTTGCATAATGCAGGGTTGTTACGACTACTATTAGATCCACTAACTACGAATTCAACTACAGTCTTGACCCGATTTTGTTAGTCCCCCCACGTATCAACCGTTTAGCTTTCAATAATTTCACAAACCCGTAGTTCCAAATCTGTGTCATTCATTTTATTTAGATTTTATTGTGTACTTCATCATTAAAAAAGCGCATGGGTTTCGAAAACAAATAGAAATGATTTTCAAAGAGGGAGATGGCAAAATTGGGCCATTACTGTAATTGTTTAATTATTATTTGAAGACTCTAATCCAGCATTGCCCAACGAAAAAATTTCATTTCCATTTATGCAAAGGGGACACCACACCCAAGGGAAAAAATCAAATGAAAAATTTACCCCTCCGATTATGCAAAGGGGGGACGAAAACATCCAAATAAAAAATTATCAGCTCCAATTATGGATAGGGGGACCAAAGAGACAAATTCATATGAAAAAAAATCACTTCCTATTATGGAAAGTACCCACTGGCAGAAAATATTATTAAAAATATTCACCTCTAATTCAAATGAAAAATTGTCATCTCCAATTATGCATAGAGGGCACCAGAGGAAAAAGTCATATGACAATTTTACACTTCCTTATATGCAAAGAGGGGACCATAGGGAAAAAATAATATGAAAAATGTTCACTTCCAATTTAGGCGCAAAAGGAAAAATTAATATAGTTCATTCGGTGGTGTAGTTGTAAGCGTGATTGCCCAAAAAGCCTGAGTTCAATCCCAGTCGGCGCCGCCGGGATGTTCTGAGGCATAACATCTCTGATCACGCCTTCCTTCGGAGAGAAATAAAGTCGTTGGCCCCCGGTCCATGAGTTGATGGGTCGATAGGTAGGGTCCAGGTGAGGAAGCTGCCTCCCTGGCGTCGGTAGCTTTGGTACTCAGTACGGAAAACAAGATCGACGGAAAACAAATGAAAGAAAAAAAATCACATGAAAAATTATCCCCTCTTAGTATGCAAAAGAGGACCATAGGGAGAATGTAATATGAAAAATGTTCACCTCCAATTATGCAAAGGGGGAATTCATATGAAAAAGTGTTACCTACTATTATGCAAAAGGCGCACTAAAGTGAAAACATCATATGGAAAATTATCACCTTGAATTATGCAAAAAGGGAAAAATCATGTCAAAAAAAATTATCACTTCCTATTATGCAAAGGGGGAAACAAATTATTTTGAAATTAAAGTAGGGGACCAAATCGGGGAATTACTGAAACTTTCAATTATTATTTGAAGACTCTAATCCAGAACTGCCCAACGTGCGGCCCGTGGGCCAGTCGTGATCTCTGGATCTCAGCAAAAAAAAACAAGTTTAGTTTCCAATTCTTTCAAGGACAAATTTTCAAATAAAAATAAGTAAAAAATGACTTCAGTGCAAGATGGGATATCAGTGCAATCACCAGAATGAGAGATCAGGAGGAACTTCGATGACTTTTTGGCAACGAAGGAAGAAACTTTAATTTTAATGGAATCATTAGAATAATGCTCAGATTTTATAAGGCCACCGTGTTTGATAGAGATTTTCGAAGATCCTTAAAATTTTAAGAACGAGTCTGTTGTTTTCAGAACGTATTTGAGTATTTGAAACACATCACAACTCTGGAATTTCAAAAACCTCTCAGAACTTCCACAAGCCTATCAGTTCCCTGAATTAAGGTGTATGTACTCATGCTCTGAGACATTACATCAGTAGTTCGTCAACCCTCTCAGAAGTTCTTCAAGTTTTGCAGCTTCTTCTTTTCATTAGCTCCCTGATTTTCTCCAATTTTCTCTAAATAGTTCAGAGAGCTTCAAAACATTTCAGAGAGCTTTATACTTTATTGCATACCAGGTAAGCTTTGCTCATTTTAGATAAATTTCAGAGAAGATCAGTGCATTTCAGATAAATTCAATGAATATTTAATGAGCACAAGAAACTTCATTGTAGTCAATAAAATCTCAGAACGACTCAGGAAACTCCTCAATGACGATTGGGTGAATTTCAGAAGAGTTTAGTGAACTCCGGAGAAGTTACGCAAATTTTAGAGAATCTTCTTACGTTACGAAGATTGTTAAAGTGACTATAATTAGAAAAAAATAATGTTAAATAAGATCAATATAGTTCAAAAAAATTCATCGTAGCTTAAAGAAGAGCAAGGTTCGTCAGAGAAGGGAGAAATTCAAAGAAGTTTAGGAACCCCAAAAAGTGGAAAGATCTGTGCCTAGGGGCACGAATGGAATCTTGACGTAGGACCGCTAGTGGACGGAACAAATGTGAAAAGCATTTAGTTCTTTTAATTGATTATTTTAGATGGTCCAGTTTTGAACCCACCACAGCATGCTTTTGGCGCTACTGTTTATGGACGATCAAATGTAAAATACTGTGGTAGCCACAGCATAGTTCTGTCAAAACCTCAGCATTTTCATTGATCCATTGATCGATCATCTATTATCTTAACTCTTTCCGTTTTTGATTTTTAGGTGTACAAAATTTGTAGTTTTTTTTTTTTGAAGAGAAAGTTGATGAAGAGAATTGATCAAAATCACTTGCACCCCTGCTTCCAAGTTTGGTTACAAGATTACAACTCTGGAGAGCTTTTTGTGTGGTCTTTGAGGGCGTATGGTTCTGAATGTGGACTAACAGGCACAGATAAAATTCAACTCTTTACTATAATAAGCTTGTTGGCCCTGAAAAGGGCCGTTTGTTGCCAAAGTTGGTGAAGATTTAACCTCCGAAACCGTACAGAGTGCGTCTGTCGCATAAAAGCGTAGACAACATCCATGGCCGCTTACGCTTGGCGTGCTCAAAGTAGGTGACAGCATCACGGATCTCATTTTCCAGAAACACCTTCAGCAAACCTCGTGTTTACTCGTAGATCAAACCGGAGATACGTTTGACATCGCCACGACGAGCCAGACGACGGATGGCGGTTATCACGAAGAACCTTGCGATGACGCTTGGCACCTCCTTTACCAAGACCTGAAAATGAGTTTAAGCTAGACAGTGCTGTTTTATATCTTTTCAGGTTAAAGTAGAATCATGTGCAACCAAGTGGTACACGATTATGTCGACTGGGTTTGGGAAGAACGTTTATTTCATGAAAATAGTGAAAGAATTATCATTTTTTTTTATTTGTGCATTGGACAATGCTTAACATTACCACTTTTTTGATAGTTTCTTGTAGAAAATCATAAGTCAAAAGCATTGCTATTGATGCGTGGACATATTTGTGATCGATTAGTGATAAAATTATTGAAATTGGTCCAGGGGCAGCTGAGTTATTAATGTTCAAAATCTTTCATAATTTGGTTTCATGTTCCATTTTCGGTTTTCACAAAAAGTAACCCCATATAGACATTAAGAACGTAGTCCTACGTCAAAAGCTCTTCGGAACAGCAGGGAGGCTAAGAGTAATTTTGAGAAATTTCAAAACAACCATACCCATAACCAGAATGGAACCCCCCGTTCCATCAAAGCATTAGAGTTCAAGAATTAAAATAAAACTTAAAGAAAATTAGGACATCTTGAAAATGATTGAGAAGCCATTATTTGATCTAACCAAATTAAAATCAATTTCAGTACTTTACATTTGTCCCGAGAACGTAAACAAAATTCAAGGAACCTCAAAGTGCTTTGGAATTTTAAAAGATGTTCAGGTACGCTCATACAAAGTTAAGGAATCTTATGTAAGTATAGGAATGTTCGTGAAAGTTTAGAAAATTCTGGAAAAAGTGAAAGATTGCTTCATGAAGGTTCACAGTGGTTAGAGTGGATTTTAAGCGGATTGTTTTTTATTTCAAATTTCTCGAACAACTTTGAAAATGGCAGCAAATGACCTACGTAGGTTTCCTTGCCTCTTTCCTCCGTCATTGAATGTAATGTAATATGTTGTCACACGAAATTAGCATTTGCAACCTTACTCTGAAATAACTTTCACACAATCTCCTCGTCCCCTGCTTTCACTATTTAAAATTCCTGATTCAGACATTTCATTAGCTTTCATACAGGCAATATGCAAAATTATGTGGTATCCCTGAGTCTGGGATGTCAAATATTGTATTTTGCACTTGAAACTGGACTCCTCAAAAGTACGAAACAGCTAATAATAGTTTCCTTTTGCGTTGTATGGACTTGATATGTTCTGTGCACTTATTCCTTATGAACCAACTTACGCCAACATGATTTAACGTAAAAATGCACTTTTATAAGCGTTTCCGCCCTTGCTTTCACACTTATAATGAGCGCAATGCGCAATACTTTTTATACTTTTTTATTTAACGTTGGTTGCTTGATATGCGATATGATTTCAGACTTCAACAAATGTTTCAGATTGTTAAGCTCAGAAAATTTTCAAGAATAATTGATTTTGAAAATTTTGCGAGATCTCAGAGATCTAGGAACAAAGATTTCGGAATAATGATCCATCCCAAATATTGACATTTTCTCGTTCTTTTTGAATATAGAATATTTCTCGTTCTTTTCGAATATGACAGGTTTTTCGTGATAAATTATGGATTAAGTATGCATCAACAATGGTACTTTTTTGGTCAAATACTATACATTTGAATATGTTGAATGATGTACATATAGGATTCTTACTCATTGAAACAATAAAACTATTACACTTGAAGAAAAATTATGAGCTAGGTTTACTACCACCTACCAATTTGAACAACTTGCTAATGCTCATGCTAATTATTTTCCAATATTCCTCTACCTACCTCATTTACAGACCTCTATTTTCATGTATTACATAAAATACCTAGTGAACTAGTTTTTCTTGAGAAAAATATAAAAAACTCGTCGTAATTAGGTGCAAAATACTAACGATTAACCTACTCAACATTCAATATGTCTCAAATATCTTTAGACACACAATGTCTCATTTGCATGCAAATCCGAACGTGACAATTTATTGATGCCAAAAAAACAGCACAAATATCCCCTGAATCAATCGATTTGTCACCCTAAAATTGGCAAAAAAAAATTGGAAACCAATAATGTTTTGCATTGCCAAAAACAGAAACACGCGTGCATTCCCACGCTTGTTTCTCGGCGCACCTTGGCTGTCACACAAATTCAAGATCATGCATACGCTGTGGAAGCAAAGTTAGACAATTGCTCCATTCGGCATCTGAAACACTGCGTCGGAAACCGATAAAACTTCGATTTTGCAACAAATGATTGCCTTCGAAACGATTCGGATGACGGGCAAACGTGACAAAAGTGCAATTAGTAACCACGGGATTCCCACACCGAACGAGATAATTGCCACCATGTGGAGCTGGTAGGCAGTGTGCGCCGATCACTGCAACCGAACCGATCCTGTCCCAATATTTTGCGGGCATCTCAAAATGGTATCCTAGTCCAAATTGTTGAACTTGTATCGCCAAAAATGTCAAGCCATCCACCTCAGTTGATAGAGTGTCAACGCCTGCGGTTATTTAGCGCGATTTTGCTCGTAAAACAACGTGTTCTGAACAGCATGATTTTAAAGAGAGTGCTTCCTTTGGATTTTCAATCTAAATTTGATGGGGGAGAAACTTGTTAAAATGAACAAGCTTCCAAGAACACAAAGGTAAATCGTGGTACAAGATATTCTGAACTTATTATTATTATTCTGAAATTATAGCTTTTCTACATCGTGGAAGCTGCACCCTGCGTGCGGCGATACGAATAATCAAACAATTATGATTGATCGCAAATATTCAATCATTCGTCGCATTTGCCTAAGCAACATTTGATATTTTTATACTGATCTATGAATAAAGCTCGCCAAAAACGACCTACCCCTCAACAGATACAAACAGCTGCTTCTGATTCGACAGTGTGACATTATGCGATATTTGGGTCGTCTAAACAGTCGTTTATCTGCCTACTCGTAGCCCATTTAAAAAAGAAGCTAGTAGTCATAGTAAGCTCGAACACATGTGCGATGAAAGTCAGTTTCGCGAATCACATCAACATAAACTCATGAGAAAAAAAACTGACAAGATCAAACGTCTATTTTGTTTTTTCCTTTTTTTCTTTTTTGAAGCTCACCATACTTAACATATTGGACGCCGAGGGTACGACTTTGGTGCGGAAGAAATCATGCAACACGACGATCCGGCGTTGGACTTTGCGCGTCCGCGGTGATATCACTTTCGTCGGCAGCTTGTCTCCATACAGTCTGGGTACTGCGCGCGATGATGACCAAGAACGAAACCGGAAAAAAGAAGAAAGAAACACACAAATTGGATAAAGAAATTCGGGAATTATGGGTGGTTGGTGACCGACACACTAGTTGTGTGTGATATGCAGCTGGTCGAAGATGTTCGAATTCAAGATATGGTACACCGGATTAATAGATATGTCAAATAAAAAAGGATGTTTATTAAAAGTGCAAGATAAAGCTTGGATGAAAATGATTAAGATAATCACTACATTAAGTCGTTGACTGTTGAGGATCTTCACGATGCTGATTTACCTGATCATGCAATATCTGGGTAACATCATTTGTGAATTTGAATCGTTGAACACAATTCTTGATCAACTTGACCTTTATTATTATTCTTTATTAGGGTGAGTTTTAACCACTTCTGGGCTAGTTCATCACAAAACATGACGTTTTGATAATGACGAGCTTAACAGATATGCTTTTATTTAAATATCTTCAGAATAATGACTGTTAGACCAATACCGGCGAGAGAACGAAAAAGAATTTAATTATTATTTATTTTTATTCATAGTAGGACTTTGACAATACCTTTACCTATTATTGTCAGGGCGGTAAACAAAGACCTTGAGCACCCAAATTTGGCCAATTGATGCTCTGGAGCATGATTTATCAGCATGCAAAAAATGAGCGCTTAAGGACTTCATTTACCCCCATGACAATAATAGGTAAATGTATTGCAGAATCTGTTGATTTACCTGTTCTAATCCTTTTGCTCAGTCAGTAAAGACGTAACCATAAATAAGGACCATGCTGGTGGTGGCTGAGTTCGATTCCCTGTCCAATACAGTTACTTTTTTCAGTTTGGAACTTTCTAGACTCTCCTAGGCACAGACATACAATATACAAGTTTTGAAAGGCTGTGGCTCTTCGTAGGTATTCCGATTTTTTCGAGTTCCGACCTTACGAATACAAAATGATACAGGAATATAAATCTATCAGCTAAAAATTGTGAGAGTGCTAAAACACTCAAATTGAGAACAGGCGTAAAGTTTTAGCTGGGACGTAATAGCCAAAGCAAAAGATTCAAAGCATATAAACAAATTTTAATCATAGTTGAAGATGCTAATTTCAAATAACAGACTGTAGTGGTAATTTTTATACGATAGATGGAGTAGATGAAAGCATAGAGTTGATAGTTCCGTTAGATTACGGCAGTGTGAAGATTGCATATAGATATTAGAATAGCGAGCTAGAACAACTTTTAAGGATTTCTATAGTACATATCATTATTCCTCTATCTAAATTACGTTTGATAATTTTGCATAGTTTTTGCCTATGTTTTGCACCACCATCTTCTTTTGCTGTTCTGTGCTCGCTCGGAGGAACAAAAAAAATCGGTTTTTAGAAAGCTTTTTGTTCAATTTACTAAGTGAAATTACTGTTGTGCATAACAGTGCCCAGAATGAGTTGAAAAAACAACCAGCTATTTCATTTCAATTACTATTTTCGATGGACCAAAGTTACATCCATTGATGGGCCTACTATGGGGGCAGCATGTTCTTTAAAATTTTTCATGTGAAAACGGTAAGTGAGCGTAAATCAATGCGTATGTTGACGGTAGAATTTCGTCTGCAGGCCAATTATTTGTTGAGATATGATTAAAATCATAATTCGTGGCTGCTTATTAGATCTAACTACGTGTGTGATATGAATCGTTGAAATGTTCATGAATTTATTAAAAAGGTTTAGTTTGGCAGACTATAAACTTTTTGCGTTGCGTAGCGTTGCTTTGCGTTTTTAACGGAGTAATTCATACTGGCAACTGTCATGTATCTCATGAACTTTACTGTTATTATGCTGATTGCTTAAGGAAAACTATTTGGGAGTGAATAGCTTTCCAATCAAAGTTCAGAACGGGAAAACATAACAATTACCATTCCCGAGTAGCACACTTCCGTTAATAAAAGTTGTAGCAACTTGTTTATGACTGAAATAAGTCGTAAAGAAGTTTCTACTACCGATATGTGACAAGTGTGCTACTAGGATTGTCGGCCACGCCCATATTCTCCGTTACGGGGAAAAGACGGATATCGTTGATGTATTATCTACTTACTATTATCTACGACTCACCGAGGCCCCCATAAATCATACGGAGTTGGATAGTTGGGTAGGAGATGGGTCAGGATTCGCTTAAGCAGGCGACCATGCTAATTGTTTGATTCTGGAGGAGCCTGAGAGTAAACCCACGGTCTTCTGCTTAGTAAGCAAAAGCGGCAGCCACCAAGCTAGCCGAGCTCCTTAGTTTAAATTTTGGGACCTTATTTTGTAAAGTTCTTAAAAATACTGATTGAAATATAATGTAAAGGCAGACCTATGAACGGTTGTCTAAAATACTAGTAAAGGGGTCTCCCACCCAATGCCGGCATACCACGTCGGAAGCAACACACTCATAAAATAAATCACATAACCAGTGGAAAATTTATCCATGTGAATTTCACATAACTTTCATATGATCCCATAATTGGAAATTGCACCACTAAATCACATGAACGTTATGTGTCCAATGAAATCTATATGATTTCTCATATAGAATGTCTAATGCTATGTGATATTCAGGTAAAAATCACTGTTATTGTTTTTGGAAAAATACTATGCGCGTTCCTAATAGAAACTAAGTGAAAACTTTTTTCAGTGCAGGTTATAATCTCGGTCTTTCCTGAATATAGAGTATCATTCAGCCAGCTGTATTATTTTATTACACGATTGATGCGTGTTTTTTAACATCCCGTTGATCGTTTTGTTGATAACATCCCGTAAAAAAGTAATGTAATTCCGGGAAACGTACGTAATCTAGTTGGGTAAATGACAGCTTCGGCAATACCTTATTCTATTATCGTCAAGGAGCATCCCGGGAGCTATATGACAGCTCCAGTGTAATGTCAATGTACCCTGAAAATTCTGGTACTCTAGTTCTGTCAAATCGAATAATGGAGGAGTAAATTTACATTTGGTCTTATTTTTGATCAACTCTTTTTTCACGTTCTTGAGTTTTTGTTTTTTCAACTTTTTATAAAAACAGTGATATTATTTTCTTCCAATCGACGATACGGGATCGGAAAATGTCTGTGTCTATGTATGTGTGTGTGAGAGCGCGTAACAAATTTTTTTAAACGTATTTCTCAGCTACCGCTCGCGCTCTACCGAATTGAACGCAACAACCACCAAATGAAAGATTTTCAATCAATGAACTGGTTCCGGAGATATGAACAAATCACGAAATTCGGGAACTAAGTGGTGTTTGTCGCCAACCACATAACCGAATTTAATGAAACAACCAGCAAATAAAAGGTATTATGATCACAATGAATGTTGTTGAACAAATTTAGAATCGATCAACTATTTCCGGAGATATGGACGGGACAATTTCCGAAAAACATGGATTTTGGGAACTTAGTCTTCTTTCTCGTTAATAACTTACGCGAATTGCACGCAACAACCACGAAATGAAAAGTATTATGAATCCATAGCCTAGCCCATAGAACATTATTGAAAAGATTTAGAACCGGTCAACTAGTGCTGAAAATGTGACAAGAACATGTTCCGGGGAATGTGAGCCATTAAACTAAATTTGACCGATAAGAAATAAAACCTATCATGTGACAAAACAAATTACTTCAAAATATGATAACCAAAACAATTCTGGCCATTTCGAGCGCCGCGGTCATTGGTCAGTTCCGGGCATGGTCATAGTCAGTTCCGGGCATGTCCCAGAGGCCACCGGGCAATTAACCACACCAGACTTGAATTAAAACCCATCATGCCATATAATGAATTTTGATTTCACCAAATCGATTTAAATCCAAGATACAAGGAAAACAATGCAACATCAGTTATACGTCTCACTCAAAATGTATTCTTGGCTTCCTTTAATGTTCACACGGTTAGAAAAAAAGAACCCAAAGGTAAGTTCTTTTCACTCATCTCGGCACTATAGTGCAAAAGGAACCCAAAAGTAGGTAAAGCGGGTCAATTTTTCATTTACTTGTGTGCAATTCGTATGGAATTTTCCACTCGCTTTCTACCCAAAAGTAAGTTAGTTTTACCCAAAAGTAGGTAAACAAGATTATACGCAACGTTGGATTCCCACACTTTACTACGCGTGTGGTTTTGCTCGTCCGTTTTTGACAACATTAGAAGGAGAAAAGAAGACAAACTAGTCAAAAGTAGGTAAAAGTTATCTGGCCGTTGGGTACTGTTTTCTTACGGTGCACATGAAGTGAAATAAAAACATGTTTTCTGATGAGAAAAAATATGTGCCACCAACGATGGCTGACCCCATTGTTTACGTACGGTGGAGACATCTACAATTTGTAAGTTGGTACGTGAAACTAAGGTTTAGATACTCGGTGGGTATCAGGGGGTAAACAACGTCCTTGAGAGCTCAATTTTGACATTGTGTTTTCATTAGCCAAATTTGAGTGATCTAGGACTTTGTTTACCTCCTGACGATAATAGTTTAAGGTATTGCCGAAGCCGACATTTCCCCTAATGCAATAAAAACTAAATTATTTTTAGCAAATCTCGTCAAATAAGGGACTCTCCAATAATATAGTACATATTAAAAACATTTAAATATCGCTATTTTCGTGGTGATTCGGCTCCAACTGTTGTTTTGTGAGAAGATCGTAGAAGTTCTGATCAATCAATTTTATTTTTCCCTCTCAGAATTCCATGAAACTTCGCATAATTATTCACGTTCACTTTCAATTTTCATCTTTTAACTTGCAACTTTCAATCAAATTCATGGATTGCCTAATGAGAAAAAGTACGCATTGAAACAAAAATCATAAATTCTCGTCAAAAATAAAAAATAAACTGTTAAAACTTCAATAACAAAAAATGCATTTTTAAGATCTTTAAACTTAATAAGTTTATGTGAAAGCATATAAAAAATGCTATATTTTCTGAAATGGACACGTTGTACACTTTAATATTAACCGTGAAAAAATAATTCAAAATTTTATTAAAAGTTTACCGTATGCGTGATAATGTTGCACCATTGAGCAATGCCAAAATTAACAAAATTCTCAAAAATTTCGTTTTCGAGTTCTTTTATTTATTCAAAGGGAGGATGTTTCTCAGAGTCTTAAACCACCTTAAACTATGTTTATCATCGATCGAGTTTCCACTTGCATTAAGGCCTCCACACGCTTTCAGAATGCACGGCAGGTCCTAATAATGTAGTCTGGATCCATTTCTCTGCAGGTACGGGTCAATGTTTGTCTGAGGCTTGCTGTACTCGGGTGGCGTTTAGAACAGGCCTTGGCCTTCACGACGCGCCATATTGAGTAATCCAGCGGATTAAGATCGGGGCTAGATGGCGGCCACATATCCTTCGCCCAGAACGGAAGATGTTCCTGCAACCACTTCTGAGTGCGGTTCGAGGTGTGGCACGGAGCCCCATCTTGTTGAAATACAACATTTGGCTTCGAAACGTACTGTTCTTTGATCCACGGAAGAACATACTTACTTAAAATCCCGATGTAGACCTCCGTGTTGACCTTGTCGCCTTCTGGAATGAACACCGGGTCCATTTTTTTGCCATCGGAAGCCACCAATCCAAACACCATAACGCTAGCAGGATGCTGGATACACGTTCTTGTGCTCGTCGGCCACGTCTTTTACCGGAAGAGAACTAATATACCGGTCGGTTCTGGAATTTAATACGGGATCGACGGTAAACATGCTCTCATCGGTGAACAGGATTACCGGATATTTCCCTTAAGGAAGTTCAAGATTTTCTTGTATCGTTCAACTCGTAGCTCCCGGATGCGGTTGGTAATCATGTGAGTTTTTTTTCCGTGCGCAATCTTTCTCTTCCGTGCCGTAAAGTCACTGATCCCGTGTTCCTTTGCCATTTTCCTTATTGAACGCACTGCATTCACCCGAATCTTCCTTTTGATAGCAGCGATAACCCTCGGAACCCGAGCTGACCTCGGACGAACTGTGGCCACCTTCGCGAATAGTTGTCCTTTCTTTTCCCGGTCCACCGATCCACCGGGACACTCCCACGGCGATTGAAATGTCTTTTTGCGACATTTGCGCGTGGGACAAATAACGAATACGCTGCCACTTCGTCATGGTGCAACTGCCATACAAGGTAAATCATTGTTTTTATACACACACGGCGAATGAGAACGACCCAAATTTGAGTTTAGTTCAATCATAATCGCCAAAAGTGCAGGAACTCAGCGATGAGTAAAATTTGTCTCATGGTTTCCTGTGGAAAACCTAAAAAATCTGCCGGAAAATGAGGAAATTGACGAAAGTTTTATTCAGTCTCGGAGTAGTACCAATAGACTGAGTGAATCCAATCTTTACTTTTTTCCCTGGAAAATACTTTTTACTTTTTTTCCCTGGAAAATCCTGGAAAAACATGAGACAAATTTACTCATCGCTGAGTTCCTGCACTTTTGGCGATTATGAGTGAACTAAACTCAAATTTAAGTCGTTCTCATTTGCCGTGCAGCCTACTACGGTATGAGCTATAGGTTACGTGCATGAAAAGAAAACCAAGGCATTGTATGCACATTATCACGCATGCGGTATGTTCTAAGAGGTTAATCAATTTTGAAGTGTCCGTTGTGCCCATTTCAGAAATTTTCTAGCTAACAATCATTATATCAAACAAAGTAGTAACACCTTTGGATATATGAGACGATCCTCCTATATCGAGGTATACCTGTATAAGCTTTCAAATAATCAAAATATTGAAAATCTTACAAATGCACCTTTTTGTAATTGAAGTGTTTATTAGTTTTTATCATTTTTGACAAAAAATTGTGATCTTTTTAGTGTGCATTTTTTTCTGAAAAAGCAATCCAGTTTTCTACAACTTTGTCTCAGACGTCATTTCGATTAAATGAGCCGTTTTTGTGCTATGATTTATTGGAAAATAACGAATACGTCATTTTGAAACATTAGGTGTGAGTTAAAATGGGCTTATTCCAGCACAAACTTAGTTCATTGCCCCTAGCGAACAATTTTGGGAAGTTTCATGGAATTCTGAGAAATAAAATCTAAAAATTTCGAATTTGAAAGTGCTCTATAAGATAAAAAAAAATATATTGGAGATTTTATTTTTACTTTATAAATCTGGTGTACAGCTCAAAATTCCTTTGACAAACTGTACATTTGTGAAATTCTATGGGTTTAACATGAAATACATCTTATATTTGTCTACTTTCAGCCTCAGTTCGTCTCTTAAGAAAATACATCATGTTAATTGCACACAATTTCATGACCCTATGGTGCCCTATGTCAGCAATATAAATTGAAGTTTTTTTTTCGCTCTACTCCATTCGGTTAAAAAATCGACTAGAAATTCCACCATGTTGGAAGATTTAATGTTCTTATACGTATTAACAATATTAATACATTTTAAATCTATAGATTTAGCAATTCTACTAAGCTTAACTACAGGTATACCTCGATATAACGTAACTGTCACTTTTCACTTCCACTTAAAGTAACAACACCATTGGACAGAATGAACAATCCCCCAGCTATTGGTTATGTTGATTTGTGCTATTGAGTTTTTATTTGAGAAAAATCGACCGAGGAAGTCAAAAGTGACAGTTGTGTTACATCGAGGTATACCTGTACTAAAATTATTTAGATTTCAGGAAATCCCATTCAAATTTCCTTATAAATGATAATTAAAATATAATTTTTCATCTTTATTTTCACAGTGTTACTAAATGTTTAGGTGGTTTTAGGATTTAGTATAGTAAAAGATTCCAAATCATACTGAATGCTTTTTGAAGTAACTCCTAGAAAGCATTTTATTGAAGTACTGTTCCGATGGTAATTTTTCGATCTAATTCGTTTCGGAAACAATATTATATCTCTCAAGTGACTATCATAGTGTGAGCGTTGCGTTGAGCAATGCGTGAAATTGCATGTAATTAATAATAATAATAATATAATATACTTATCAATAGTAAAAAATGTCCTTCACGCTTCGCGCAATCCAACGCTCTCACTATGCCAGTGTGTACTCATCTTTATCTAGCTTTTTTTCTTTTTCATATACCATTTTTATGAAAGAAACAGATGTTATTATGTGGGGTTAGTGGGGCCGGTGGTGTAGTGGAAAGCGTGATTACCTCTCACCCCAGCAGGCCTGGGTTCAATCCCAGCCGGCGCCGCCGGGATGTTCTGAGGTATAACATCTCTGATCACGCCTTCCTTCGGAAGGGAAGTAAAGCCGTTGGTCCCCGGTTCATGAGTTGATGGGTCGATAGGTAGGGTCCAGGTGTGGGAGCTGCCTCCCTGGCGTCGGTAGCATTGGTGCTCAGCACGGAAAACAAGATCGACGGAAAACAAATCAAAGGAAAAAAAAAAATTATGTGGGGTAAGTAGGATCAATGAAAATTATCTTTAATACCCTCACAATGTCACAGTTTTGCATTTAAAATTTATGAAATGTGTCATTCTGAATTTCATAGAATAATTTCAGCAAGATTGGTTTTTGTTGTCTCGTTTATATATACAAAAGTAGTGTAGAAGATTAAATTTGATATCCAGATTCAAAATGGTAGTTTTACTCAATATCCATAAAACTGATTTTTTGCTCGTATGTCTTCCAACTTTTTATGCATTAGATAGAATTCAACACAAAATTTCACATTCCAGAGAAAAATAAATAACATTAATAAGATCTCTGTCGCACAAACAAATGATCCCACTTACCCCCAAGTTCGACTTCCCCCAGTGTACCTTAATTCAAAATTGAGCTCTTTATTTATAATGTTCACTACCTCAAAACAAGCCAAACCGTTTTCATGACCATTTGCATCAACCGATTAAATATCGCTGTCATCGGTCATCAACTGGGACACAAAGTCATTAGTATGCTGCAAATCACAAAACTTTTAATGCTTGTCTTCATATAGGAAATTAATAGCCACACTTCAAAGCGTGTCGTTCTCGCCCAGTAGACGATTTCCCACGCATGTAGTAGCCGTCATGTCTCGCTGATAGAAACCAAACTGAGTTCGGGGGAAATCTGCCGTTCGAATTCCATGCATCTTGGGTGAACAACAATTCAACTAGGGTGGCTAGGTATTTTCAGATGCGTGGTTTAATTATGGAATGGTGTGATCGTTACGTAGCACGAAAAATTTGACATGTCTCAAAAATAACAGATTATTGAGAATTTTGTTAGGAATGCAAACAAGCTGTTGGGCCGCTTAAGCCAACAAGCGCGATGTTAACTTACGCCTGTCAAATCTCCAACTATGTGTGACATCCAAACTGAGCGCTAGAAGAATGATCAGGCAGCTGAATTTAACCATTTCTAACTGTGCGGAACTGCTCCACTGGAAGGAATCTGAAACGAAAGGAAATTAAATTATTTACGATTACTATTCCTCTTAATTACAATCTTTTACAATCCGTGGCCGTGCATCTAAACTAAACCCCATTAAACCAAAAACCTCGTCATGTGGTATCAACCGTTTTGTTTATATTTTCCCATTCCTACACCTCACACGCCGGCGCAAGTGAAAGAGGAAAGACTATTCAAGTGTCACGATAAATTATTTTTAATGGGCAATTAAAGAATATCTGCAATCGTTAGGTGGTGAGCCAGCAGCGACTGTAAAAGCAGTTCCTGTCTCGATCCGGCCAGACAAAATAATCGCACATTCATCATAAGGACTTTCTGTACGTTACACTAGACAGGACCGCGGAAGCGAAAGATTCCCTCGAATATCCATTGAGTTGTGAGATAAGCCCCGTTTCTACAACCCATAACGACTTAATCGAGTAAACTGACCGCGTAATGAGTCGAAGATGATGATGATCATCATGATCGGCGCATATGGTTTCAATCGATGCACGAACCACTTGAATGAGTAAGACTCACATTCTGCTCCTCTCATATACTTATACACTCTACACTATAGGAATGGTTATGACGAACAGTTAACGTGTTTAAATTACGACCGATTGGTGCTAAAGATCGCAAGATAATAATTGAATCATTAACCTCCCAGCAGTGGCCGGGAGATGATCGGCGATTATTTTACACATGCAATCTGTCGCCTGCAAATGGAGGAAAGTGCAAATGCTGTGTGCTGTACTGTCTATATGAGTATACCGCCTACGCATTGCATCGGTTATTGAAAATTTAAATATTTGTTGCCATGAGTGCACGGCGGCGCGGAGATAAACAAGAGTTGCGTGAGCAAAACGAGTTGAGATAAGATAATGAACCGTGTGATCTATGCAGTCAGTAAACTTTTAATTGCGGAATTGAATCATTTATAACAAGAATTTATCAATGGAACTGGTGCGAGTTCATTGTATTGGTCTGAATGATTTTGATTAATGTTTCCTCATCGAACATATTATCTCTCTTTTGTACCTACAACGATGCCTCGTCACAAGCACAGAATGTAAGGTGGTAATCTAGTGATTTGAACATGATTTTTTGAAATGAAGTGGCTTGAAGCATCTGCGGAAGCGGTGACATGAAGAAAGTTAATTGATTTCAATACAGAACTCATGCAATGACTCGTAATATGATATACAAGTTCCTACGATAACTATGAAGTATTTCATAGATTTTGGGAGTTTAGGAGAAATCCACAAAAAAATTCAACTCGTAAATAAATAATTATTTAATTTTTGAAATAAAAATATCGTCGAAAAATCTTACCTGTGACAAATTTGTACAAGTTTTTAATCAGACTTTTCCTCAGAGAAATACGATAGAAGCTTTGACGATTTTGAATCGAATCCCGGAAGATCAATCTTTTTGGTTCGATTAATCGATTTTTGGACAGGATCTCAAATACACAATAAATCAAACCGATTATTATTGTTCGATTTTTGGTTCCAATTAAAAAAATAAAAATAATTTTATTTTGCCGTTTAGGGTACGTGTGCCAGATTTTCACCCTAGTGGTCCTCTAATTGGCCCTATCTTTAGTTTTACATTTTACCATTCTTTACCAATTTTATTTCGATACAGAACATAGAATGCAATGGTAGACCAATACACATTAACCGAAATCGATCACGTTCTAATTGACAGGAAAATCTTCTCCGACATTATCAACGTCCGTACGTACCGCAGTGCGAACATAGATTCGGACCACTACTTAGTTGTAGTATGCATGCGCTCAAAACTTTCGACGGTGCATAACACCCGTCGAAGTCGGACGCCGCCCAAGCAACATTGCAAGTTTTATCGAGGTTTTATAGCATTCTACAAGCTTAAATTATGCTCTACAGAATCCTTATAAAACCAGAATTGTTACTTGGGCGCGACCCAACATTGAGCAAACTGGAAGCTGCACTATCCACGAAAGAGCAGCTTGGCACAGCTACTCTTGAAGATGGCTGGAGGGATATCCGTTCCGCCATAAGTAGTACTGTTGCAGCGGAACTAGGTACTGCGATCCCGGACCGATGAAATGACTGGTTTGACGGTGAATGCAAACTATTTTCTTTCCTTGATTTGTTTTGCGTCGATCTTGTTTTCCGTGCTGAGCACTAATGTTACCGACGCCAGGGAGGCAGCTCCCTCACCTGGACCCTACCTATAGACCCATCAACTCATGAACCGGTGACCAACGGTTTTACTTCCCTTCCGAAGGAAGACTTGATCAGAGATGTCATGCCTCAGAACATCCCAGAGGCGCCGACTGGGAACACAGGCCTGCTGGGGTGAGAGACAATCACGCTTAAAACTACAACACTGGCGCCGCTAAATGTAAACTGTTAGTAGAGGAGAAGAGAATGCTGCAATACCACACAAGATTGAATGTGGAGCGATACAGACAAGCGTGGAACAGACAAAACAGTTTTCCGAAAGAAGAAGCATCAGCACGAAGACCGAGATCGCGAGGCGATGAAAAATCTGTACCGCGTAAACGACACACGGAAGTTCTACGAGAAGCTAAATAGGTTGCGCAAAGGCTACGTGGCGCAAACCAATATGTGCAAGGACATGGACGGTAACTTTTTCATCTCATTTCTGATCATCAAGAAGTTGAGGAGGATATCGGTCGGCTGAAGAACAACAAAGAAACTGATGTAGATCAACTACCAAGTGAGCTATTAAAATACGGTGGTGAAGCACTGGCTTTACGCGGTACTGGGTAAATGCCAAGATTTGGGTATGCCCAATCTACCAAAAGGGCGACAAGTTGAATTGCTGCAACTACCGCGTGATCACACTGCTGAGCGCCGCCTACAAGGTATTCTCCCAAATTCTATGCCGCCGCCTGTCATTATTTGCAAGAAAGTTCGTGGAGCAAAACCAGGTTGGATTCATGGGTGCCCGCGCTACCGCGGATCAAATTTTCGCGATTCGACTGGTTCTGCAGAAATGCTGCTATTACAACGTGCCCACACATCATTTGTGCATCGACTTCAAATCCGCATACGACGCAATCGATCGAAATCATATATGGCAGATTATCCACGAGTACGAATTCCGGAAAAACTGACGAGATTGGTCAAGGCGACGATGGATCGAGTGATTTACGTTGTTCGAATTGTTTGAATATCGAAGGGGGTTTACGGCAAGGTGATGGACTTTCGTGTCTGCTATTTAACATCGTGTTAGAAGGTTTGATCAGAAGAGCTAGGTTAGACACGAGTGGCACGATCTTCAGGAAGTCCAACCAGCTTCTTGACTTTGCCGATGACATCGACATCATGGCACGGAACTTTGAACGATGGCGGAAATGTACATCACACTGAAGGCTGAAGCTAGGCAGATTGAACTTGTCATCAACGCATCGGAGACGAAATACATGAGAGGAAGAGGCTCTAGGGAATACAATGTTAGCCTCCCACCCCGAGTTCAGATTAACGGTGACGAAATCGAGGTGGTCGATGAGTTCGTGTATTTGAGCCTACTGGTGTCACTGGGGGCAAACATACTTTTGAATATAAAAACCAATAAATGATCCATAAAATATTGGAAAACGTTCCATAAAAAACATCCAAATGATCCGTAAAACATCGGAGAAAATCCTTAAAAAAGTGTGAATGATCCATAAAAAACATCAATATGATCCATATTTTATGTAAAATTTAGCAACACAATTGTAAAAATGTGCCGCTAAATTTCTAAAGAATGAGCATTGAAATTAAACGAATTACCCATAAACATATTGCAATTGATCCATAACACATTCAAGTTTGCGCACTTTAAAATATTGCCATGTTCGGATTGAACTAATATAAAGTCTAAACCAATCTTATCTTAATGCTTATAATAAAACCTATTTCAGCTTACAGCTGTCCAAAACTAGACTGCTCTGAGAAAGTTAATTTCATTAATCTGAACATTTTTGAAGAACAACATCGGATATAATCTCAAAATGTCAGAGGGATCAACACCAACGTTGATTGAAGAACAGAACAGCGATCGAAACTGTACACTTTGTGAAGGCCATGACCACGTAGATGATATGGTCCAGTGTGATGTCTGCGATTTCTGGACCCATTAAAGTTGTGCTGGTAAGACAACATCTGTAAAGGAGGTTCCAAAGAAACCACCTAGCAGAAAGAATAGTGCGAGGAGTGATGCCGGATCCGAATCTGGAAAAAGGAAGTACCAATGAGGTCAGCTTGGAGGAATCCCTAGACCAGTTGCAGCAGGAGAAAAGCGCAAAGGAGAAAGCGCTGGAGAAAGAGAAATTCCTCCATGAAAAGCGATAGGAGGCTGAGCGGGAGATTTTTCAAACCGAGAGTTATCTTCCGTCACTCTTTCAACAAAATTTTGGCTAGATCAATTATTATTTTAGTTAAGAACGCAAACGATGTAGAATGAGCTACTTACTAGTTACTTAGAGTAAATCAAGTATATAGCACTTAGAAACAAATTGTAGGTTACCAGATTTTAGGTTCAAATTGTAGTATCTAGATTAAGCAAATATAGAATTGTGAGTTCACAGTTCTGTTGAACCAAACCTGACGTCTGTCATTTCTGACAGCGACCGTTACCGTAGCTCTCCGAATCTCCCACAGGGTTGTCGCTGACGTTAGACTTATACTATTAACGTTTGAGGCACTATATTATTAATGTTGATCCATAAACCATGAAACATTTCTGTATTACTGCGTAGCTACTTAGATTTACTGATTTGCATATGTTTTTCATGTTTTGGACACTTTTTTTTTAAATTTGATGAATAAACCTTGGAAAATTGCTACATTACTGCGTAGCTACTTAGGTTTACTGTTCTGCCCGTTTTTTTTTGTCCAAAGAGTGGAACGATGGGCGAGCGTCTAGAATAAGCTTCTTAAAGAAGTTTCTAAATGACGCTTCCATAGGATGCTTCTTAAGATATTATTATAGAATCTTCTTTGGAAGCTAATTCTAGACGCTTGCCCGTCGCTTCGCACCTCTACCTAAAATAAACGGGCAGGACAGTAAATCTAAGCAGATCGGATCAAAAAATCAAAAAGAGTAGGTTTACGGATTAAAATTTAAAAAATAATGTCCTAAACATAAATAATATACGTTTAATTCATGGATCATGCCTATATTTTTAAGTGCCCAAACTTGATTTTTTATGGATCACTTTCTTTAGATTAAGGTTAATTGCTGAATGTTTTATGGATCAATTGCAATATGTTTATGGGTAATTCGTAGAATTCCAATGCTCATTATTTAGAAATTTAGCGGTACATTTTTACAATTGTGTTGCTAAATTTTACATAAAATATTGATAATATTGATATTTTTTATGGATCATCCACACTATTTTAGGGATTTTCTCCGATGTTTTATGGATCATTTGAATGCTTTTAATGGAACGTTTTTCAATATTTAATGGATCGTTTTATCAATTCTAAAGGTGCATACTTAAGGCTGCCGTCACTGGGATACAGCAGAGAAATTCAAAGACGCATTATGGCAGGGAATCGTGCCTAATTTGGACTCCAGAGGACGCTCCGGTTGAATAAAATTCGCCACCGCACTATCTACGAGACGCTGATTAGACCGGTGGTTCTCTACGGCTACGAGACCTGAACTATGCTCGTGGAGGACCGACGCACCTTGCTGTTTTCGAACGGAAGGTGTAGCGTACCATCTACGGTGGAGTGCGATGGATGACGGAACGTAGAGGAGGTGAATGAACCTCGAATTGCACCAGCTGCTGTGAGAACCATCCATCGTCCACATTGAAAAAAAAATGAACGACTACGGTGGGCTCGGCACGTCGTAAGAATGCCGCACGACGACCCAGTGGAAACGGTTCTCGAAAGCGACCAAACAGGAACAAGAAGAAGAGGCGCGCAGCAGTAGAAGGCAACCTGAGGACCCTTCGCAGACTACGAGGCTGGCGAAGTGTGGCCATGGATCGAGTAGAGTGGAGACGACTTCTTCTATAGCAGAAACTAAGGATCTACTAGATTGCCTACATTCGGACCAGCAATTTTTCCAAATGGCATTCAATTGCCCGACCAGCGTTTGACAATTATCAACATTTACAGACATAAATGAATAATTTGAAATGTTATAGGTATCTTCAACAAGCAACGGAACGTAAACGTAATGTAGCATTCAGAGCCTAAAATAATTGACTGCCTAGGCTGAGTGTGAAAGCACTGCACTATTCAATCCATTGCTCTGTGCAGACCGTTTGTACCAAACGGTAAAGGACGAGGCAATGAAAGAGCCAACAAAAACATTCAGTCACTCACGAGCAGGCGACGCACACCGCTTGCCTTCGCTCACACAGCATGTAATTGAGTCATTTTCCATAGAAAATGTACGCTCAGTCATTCAAAACAAATATTGGGTACCATCACGGCAGAATAAACGTGTTGACTGAGCTACTGACTGGGTGCTCGGCTGTCAGTGACTCGTTTACCTCTGAATCATTCAGACTCTCACGAGGCAGTGAATGATGAGGCATATGGCAGTTCATATTCATATCAAAATGACTCAATGAACCTGACTGTTTTGCGCACTGGTAGCATTAAGCTTAATTTGTTTATTAATTATATTAAATTGCATTTATATATAAGATATATTTTTATTCTTGTTTAATTTCCGTTGGTCTCTAACCAGACGTAGTGTCAATCACTGATGCAAGCTAGGCGTTTCCACACATGGACCCTAGATATCTAATAACTCATCGATACAAGGTCCGGGATCAACGAATTTACTTCCCTTTCAAAGCGAGTAAATAGATTCGGATTAAATTATACAAATATTAACTAAACTTGTTTTTAATGCATATGAGAAGTCCATTTACCTGATGAATTTCACTCCAAAACAAATTTTTACATTTGGAATTTATAAAAATGAAATTATATTTAAACAAAGAACGCTTAATTTTGAAAAAATATATAAAGATAAACTCAAATTCCATCTGGTTGTCTATATATACCTATATTTGTAAAAAATTTAATCGATATTTTCTTTTAAAAAAAAACAAGTACCGTAAAAAGGAGTATCTTTGATAATTCGGGTAAGTTTGATAGTAGAATTTAATGATTAAATTTACTCTCTGCACTTTTTCCGAATTGGAAACATTGGGTCTATATTGTAGCTTACAGTATTTCCGTTGATATCGTAGGGGAAATGGGTCGGCCTAAATTCCCTTAATTTGGACCCATACATAAATTCAGCAATCGACTAAGTTTTCAATAGCGACCAAAAATATCCATTACTACCTTCCCAATGACGCGTTCTTCTAGATAAAATTGATAAATAGCAGATTTTTAGCGGTGGGCTCAGTCTTTTTTTTTTCCTCTGTTCGGGACATAAAACCACTGCGACCAGTAATTTGATCTATTGTAGTATGGTCCATAGATCCATAGGCCAACATTAGAGCCATTACCCCTCTATAGTTTTTATAAAATGTGTTAAATAATTTACAAGAAATTAAAAAAAAAATCTATTTTCATGTTTTTTACCTGTTTGAAAAAGCACTCAAACCATCACTTATGAAATATATTTACGATATAGCCATCACAAACCAAATGTTATATTCGTATTGCTTACAATGTTTTCTGATTATAAACTAATTCATATTTTTTCATATTTCTTGGACTAAATTGTTTGAGTTTCACGCATTTTTTTCTACATTCATCGTAACCCCAAATCAAAATACTGATGACGCAAAATTCAGCCCAATCAAACGTGCTTTCCTTTGAGTAACGAACTTTTCAGTCTCTGAGCACTTAATTTTACATGACATGTTTGTTTATGTATCATCCTTTATGTCAAAGATATATTCCGTCACGTGTAAAATTATTTATTTTTAAGTGTGTAGGCACGAAGAATAGGGCTAATTATCTTGAAGTTCAATAAACATGTGGTCTTCAGCAAAGTTGTAGCTGCTAAAATTTCACAAGTAGCGAGCATATCAGTAAATAATTATACAAAAAGGATAGGATGTTGAGAACAAGAATTTCATTTTTTCCATATAAACTTCAAGGAGCGAGTGCACTATGAGATCGCAACCAAAAGAGTTCAAATTTTGAAAGAATTATCTGGACCTGATTTAGAATAGATTGAGCGTGGTGGAACAAAACCGATCATTTGAACCACTCTAATGCATATACTTGCGTTATCTTCGTATACTGCATATCGTCGTATGTGCATAAAAGCGCGTGGTAGTAGACCCACATTAGATAAGAAAATCTTCATCTCATCCGTCATTAAAAAAGGTAGAAATTGCCCACAGCAAAATTAACAAAATACTAAACACTCAACCTCATTCCTACCTACCTTAAGTCAAAATATTTGTTTCAATCACAGATGCAGATGCCGTAAGCTTTGTTCGAACTGTAGGTCCGTTGACACGTCCGATAAATTTGCGAGACACTGATAGATCACATGATAATGAGAAAAATAACTTTTCTCGCAAAGTCGCGTGCTACTTAGTCAGCTGCAACCGCTTACTCTCTCATATGGATAACTAATTATCCACTACTTCAACACCAAACGCCGTACCGTTTACTCTTGCTTTTTTTTTTTGTTTATTCTGGGGAATCAACGCAAAGATGGGCTTCCCTCTACATCAGTGAGTAATTGACCACTATTCTTATTTGATTTCACAAGTCGCCAGAATCTTTTTTCACCTCTTTAACCAATAAATCTCGCACTCGCAGTTGGTTTTCTTATCTGATTTAGATGGGTTTCATCTTTTTCGCACGCCCGACGTATCGTGTCACAATTCAAAACAACACTTTAGCTAAACTCGAGATTCAAACATGCAACAAATGGCAAATTCGTTGCTAATCACTCGCTTGATGCTTTCGTGTGTTTTTTGGCAAGCGAATAAATTCAAATTCAACAATCACCGTAGACTTTGCGTAGTCACACAGAAGAACTGGTTGTCTTTCTGTTAGTCACCCACCAACACGCCTCGGTCAGACACGCCACCCTATCTCGGACGGTTTAATATGTGGAAAAGTCGTGGCGATTCTGTACGTTACAATAACGCGTCCGATCTGGGGCGCGCCTCGCTGTGAACTGATTTAAATATGCGACCGACAGCTAGAAAGCAAGATATTACTGACGACGGTGGTCTCTATGGCAGCAGCCGGCTTCGGAGGATTCTATAACGTTGTTGTTTTTTTGCTCTGCTAGGAGCAACACCAGAGATTCAATCTGATGCTTTAAAATCGATCGGTGCGAGATGATGTTCACCCTCTCAATGAAAGAATCAGATTATCACCGTGCCAGAGAAAACCAGAATTAAGACAAGATGGCAAGACAAGGATCATGACCGTGTGCACGCACCGGTTTCAATGATGCCATCCAGGAAATTGTCAGGCGTGTTTGATTGATTTTGTTCAATTCCAAAATGGATTAGTACTATCCCAGGAGTTTGGCAAATTTTTTAGCTTGGTCACCGAAAAAGGAGCGATGAACAGGTTTCCGATAGTGTTATGAATCAATTATCAATTACGGTAGGTAAAGCGATGTTTGATGTTCACATGTCCAAATACAATTCTGTCAATCACATTGTATGAAACACTCAAAACGCTGCCTTTGATACAATCAAATATCGACTATTTTTGCAACCTCATGACGGAATGTCATGTTCGATCCTGTTTACCTCATACTTTTACATAAGGTTGATAAAGGTTCGATCCATCCATCTTCTTATTAGCTGTTTTTTTTTAAATTGCCACTACCATCAATAAACATAAATTAAAATATTCAATGTGTTATAAACTATCAGTACACTGCCAGCGGATGCATAACAGTCCCATTTGCTATGGTATTTCAGATAAACATGAGACAATTGTGCTTTCACAAGCAGTACATGAGTTATAAAAAACACATTGTATGTATAGGCTATTATGGTGATTGCCACACCATTTACAAATGCAAGCATTTAAGCACAGTGCACAGTGGTTCAGAATGCAGATTTAGGTGGAATGATATGTTTTGAGCCTGAAATTGAAACTTTAGACTAAAAGTCTCTTCTATAAAGTTGTTCTTTATAGTTAGGCCCTCATTTTTATCACAATGAATTGTAGGGTGGTTCCTATTATCATTAAAATCAAAAATCTAACTTTTTTGTTTGAATAAATTAAGGTATACATTCTTCGGCAAAGTTATAGCTGAGCTAATTTCAAGCAACTTTGTTCAAAAGAACTCTTTTGTATCTCTTAAATTGGCTGATTTAGAGCTATTTTCTTGAATTGAGTTAGGGTGGCTCTTAAAAAAACAGGTTTTTTGCTCTATTTTTCTTATTTCGAATTTCTCAGCAAAGGAGTCTTCAGATAACTTTTAGATCTTAAGAAGGCGCAAATTTTTGCTGCACAAATCTTGTCAATATCTTTCGCCGATCAAGAGTTATTGACGTTTTTATACTAAAAATATGCACTTTTCAAATGTTAATATCTCTGATTGGGGCAAACAAAAAAAAAGTTTTTTTGCGGCATTTGAAAGGGCGTATGTTATTCTCAATAATATGACAAAATTGGAGGTATGTTATTTTTTAAACTCGTATAAAATCAATTTGAATTTATTCATATTTTTTACTATATTTGAGTATATCTTTTTTATTAGAAGAGATACAGGCAACACATTCAGCTATAAAACATTCGTCTTAAAGAGTTTTAAAAGTCTCTAGAAGATGACTTTCATGATAAATTTCAAATAAAAAAGTTATTGGCAAAATATGGATTTCATAGGACCACTCTAATGACAAATTTATATAAAATGTGCTAGTACATTTGTTTCAATATTTGGACATTTAGTGCCTTCGAAGAAGTTTTTGTTCTTAAAAATTCCCTTCTTTTGGTGTTTGCAAACGTCAGGGTGGTCCTCAAATTAGGGAATTTTTAAAACTAACTTTTTTGTTCTACAAAATATAAACATGTGTTGTTCAACAAAGTTGTAGTTAAGTTACTTGCAAGCAACTTTGTCGAAGAATTTTTTTTTCTATCTCTTAACGTTCTCATTTCAGAGTAATTTTTCGGAGTTGACTTAGGGTGTTCCTGGAAAAAATAGTTTTTTAGCAATAACTTTTTCATTTGAAAATTCTCATGAATGTTATCTTCTAGAGATTTTTAAAACTCTTTAAGACAAATGTTTTATAGCTGAATGTGTTGCCTGTATCTCTTCTAATAAAAAAGATGTACTCAAATATAGTAAAAAATATGAATAAATTCAAATTGATTTTATACGAGTTTAAAAAATAACATACCTCCAATTTTGTCATATTATTATTATTGAGAATAACATACGCCCTTTCAAATGCTGCAAAAAAACTTTTTTTTTGTTTGCCCCAACCAGAGATATTAACATTTGAAAAGTGTATATTTTTAGTATAAAGACGTCAATAACTCTTGTTCGGCGAAAGATATTGACAAGATTTGTGCAGCAAAAATTTGCGCCTTCTTAAGATCTAAAAGTTATCTGAAAACTCCTTTGTTGAGAAATTCGAAATAAGAAAAATAGAGCAAAAAACCTGTTTTTTTAAGAGCCACCCTAACTCAATTCAAGAAAATAGCTCTAAATCGGCCAATTTAAGAGATACAAAAGAGTTCTTATGAACAAAGTTGCTTGAAATTAGCTCAGCTATAACTTTGCCGAAGAATGTATACCTTAATTTATTCAAACAAAAAAGTTAGATTTTTGATTTTAATGATAATAGGAACCACCCTACAATTCATTGTGATAAAAATGAGGGCCTAACTATAAGGAACAACTTTGTAGAAGAGACTTTTATTCTAAAGTTTCAATTTCAGGCTCAAAACATATCATTCCACCTAAATCTGCATTCTGTACCACTGTGCAGTGGTTCCACACCAGGCCAATAAGCGCCTATAAGGATATTTTGAAGAACAATACTTGATTTCATCAATTTTGAAACGATTTTCTCGGAATCAGGTCGTATGCCTAATTGTGTCTGGAGGTTCAAAATTCTCCTCTAAATTTGGTAAATCCAAATCTTTATGTTTTAACGAATACTTTATGTTTTAACTATTTGTATATTCACTTTTAAAGTAGTGGAAAGGCCAAACGTTATTTAGCACATGGAATGGAGTAAAGCGAAAATAAACGATGCGAAACGGATCGCAGAATCAAAACAAAACAGCAAATAAAGCTAGCAAAAACTCGCGTTTCTGCTGGTCATAGGGATACTAGAAGTTCAAATTAAAAATGAACCCCGTTAATTTCCATGAAGTGCCGTTCAGATTAACGGGGGTCCAAGGGACCTGCTTTGGAGTAATTTACGTTCATACGTACCACGCGTCGCTTTTCTCATAATATCACAAATTTCAAGTTGAAATTAAAAAAAAAACTAATTCTGATTCACTGACTATACATAACCTGGCTTTATCTCTAAATATATCGTGATGTGCAAAATGTAATCAGAGTGAGCAGGGACCGAATGCCCTCTTCACTCTAATTCAATTGCAAAAATAATCAAAATTTTTAAGTTGTGAGTTCAAGAATGCCAAAAATTGTGAAAGACCAATAGCAAACAAAATTGCTAAGTCACAGAGTTTAGATAATTTTCAAAAGTCGGAGATCTTGAAAGTTTAATTAAGCCTCAGAATGTTAAAGTCTGAGCTACAGAATCATGAAAATAACCGAACGCTATCAGGCTGAATGGGTCATTAGGTTGAGTTGAAGGATGCATTATAGGAAAATCCACGAACCCCTCATTTTACCTGTCAAACTTTCATAGCAAATCAAAACAAACATAGTGTAGTACTAGAATTTCTACTAGAATGGGGTACGTAAATTGATTTGCTTGGGACCAATAGGCTAGTCAAGTAGTGAGCCAATTTAAAATCGTTAGTTTCCACCGGTTGGTACACGCAAACCAAAAATCTATTACAATGAATGTTAGTTCCATTTCCTATCATCCTCTGTTCATGAACATCGCAGCGAATGTTAGAAGTTGACCTTACAGGCGATGTAATGGTTTTTTGCCTTTTTTATGTCGTGTTCTGTCTGTGCTTTCACCTACACAAGCAAGTATTTACCTTGATTTTTATGTATAACATGGTAGAACGACGCACACCCTTGCCTCGAATCTCTCCAGCAGAAAAAGCATACGAAGTCGAGTGTGAGAGGAAATGAGCGCTTCTTGTTTGCTTTTAGGCTATCCTTATTCAGAAGCATGGAGAGAGCAGTGGAGAAAGCACAGGTCTGATAATCGCAACGTTCGTTGTTCGAGTCCAGTCGGCAACCTTTTTCCTATTTTTTTCGACATAATTAATTTACACTCTACATTTTTCGGTCTCCAATTTTCTTGCATTGGACCGCAGCTAGGTATATCGCATCCTCGGTTCATGCGGTCTCCACTTACATCCTCTGATGATGAATCCCACATAATTGTAAGCGAATCTTACATCCACCGGTTGGGTGTAGTACCCCCTTAAAAACAATTTTTAACATAACTTTTTTGTTTGAATTTTACATTTTTTTAGTACTTTGACTATATGTTTAGTATTACTTCTGCGTGAAGTCAACGATTTACATAGTTGAAGATGCTATTTCGAATAACAGACTGAATTGGTAGTTTTTATACGATAGATGAGGAGGAGATGAAAGTATAGAATTGATAGTTCCGTTTAGATTACGGCAGTGTGAAAATTGCATATAGAAAGTAGATAGCGAGCTAGGACAACTTTTAAGGAACGTACAAATCGGTTTTATCATCTCTCTTTACCAAACTCCCCCTTTGGAGAGAGATGGTGAGGGGTGTCCCCCCCCCCCCCCATAATTCATAGGGGGATCCAAGGGGATGCCCAATGAATGTTCTAATAAAGTACCTCAATGTTTTGTTACGTGGTGGTGGCGCAGGATAAATTTTAGAGTGCTTCCGAGAATAACCCCCATGCACTAGGAAGTTTGAAGGGGGCATATTACACCTGTTTACCCTACATATGAATCAATTATCCAAACGATAAGTATTATTACTACAAGTTTGAAGTAATAGACTGGACAAAGAAATAAGTCGTCGAAACAAAAGTCGATCGCCAGACTCTGTGAAAAAATTAAAGAAGAACACAGGCAAGAAATGAAGCATTACAAAATCATTATGACATGAATTATCGCTCTTCCAGAAAGAATCGAATGAACTCATCTCACTTCCTTCAGCAGGACAAATTCTGTATACTTTTTATGCAAATCTGTAATAGAAGCTTACATTTCCCGGCTGCATGCCACGTTATGCTGAAAAGTACCACTGAGTTAGATGTTGGGTCATTAGGCCGGATGATCATTATGCTGAATGGATAATAATTTCTTTAAACTTAGCGAAGAAAATTTGCTGGTCTGAAAAAGAGAATAGGCAGCAAAGGATAAATAAGGCCAGTTCATATAAAATTTTAGAGAAAATCTTAGCCAGAGTATACACGTTGAAAAAGTAGTGTAAATTTCTGTTCAGTATGATGCACATAAATGGAGCGTCACATCATATAAGTTTACATTATATATCATGAAAAGTTCAGAGACATTTCATGTAATGTAGCAAATATTGTATACAAAAGCCCATTGTTGTAAACAACATTATTTACAAGTTGCTCGGTTGCGTGAAATTAAATACAAGTTAACCTTTATGAATGTTTACATCACTATTAAAATTCAGAATTTTTATCTGTGTAGATTATGAGTCAGTCAAATAGATTGGTGTGAGAGAAAAACAAGCAGCTTTTAAAAGAAGGAAAAAAATATTTAATTGTTTATTTTAATCAAGGTTGCTTCGACTCAATTGCTATAAAAAATGTTTTTCGGAATTATGAAATCATTAGATGTTATAATGATAATCAGTAGTTGTAGATTACAAGAATAGGTTGTAAAGTATGTGATTGACACATAAAACCTGTCCATATTGCTTTCAGAGGTTCACAATCAGCAATTTTACAATTCGTGAACGCTCACTCTGAGTGAACGCTCACGAATCATAAAATCACTTATTGTGACGCTCTGATTGGGAAATTGTCAGGTTTTATGAGTCAAACAGATACTTTACAGTCTCTTCTTGTAACTTATAAGCACAACATATCAATATAACAACTACTGATTTCATAATACAAAAAAAAACATTTTTATAGCAAGTGAGTGGAAGCAACCCTGATTTTATTCATGATGTAAAAAATCACGAAAACAGAAAAAGTCAAAGAAGTGCTCTTGATTGAAAGAAAGAAATGATACATAAAAATGTTACATTTTGATATCTTACTAATCGTTGAAAGTTCAGTGGATATATAAAAAAAAATCTTGCGAAAAAAAACTCAGTCACATATATTAGTATAAGGAAAGAATGGGTAACTTTTACAAGAAGACAAAATCATGGTTATGATATATTTATTCATAGTTTCAATAACCATGAAAACAGTAAGACTCGAAAAAATTGCTTATATTTGAAATATTACAAACCTGAATCATACAAATTTTAGTGGTTAATTGATATTTAGTCTGTTCCGGAAAAAACTAATAATTAAAACATTCTATGTCGGAAAAACTAATAATTACACTTCCAGATATCTGGGGGAAAAAAATAAGTTCAAATAGACTGGAAAATAAACAAGTGTAGAAAATCTAGAAAACATAACTATGTAAGGAAGCTTGTCAAAATTTATTTGAGTGCGGCTAAACTGGAAACCATTCGGCCTGATGACGATTTGAACTAGTTATCATTTAGCCTAATGATTATTTATCCTAATGGACATTCGGTCTAATGAACTTCGGCCTAACTACCGGACACCACTGAGGATTAGCCATGAGAATTCAAAAAAAATATGGAGTGAATCCAAAAAAAATCTTGCGGGGAAGTTCACCGCTCCGAAAAAAATTTCAAATTATTGTCGAAGAAATACTTAAGATTCTAAGTATTTATCTAAGAGAAATGTTTGAGATTATCGACTACTGAAATTGTTCAAAAAATTGGGGCTTTGAACTGATTTTTGAAACCAGATTCTTCATTCTTTGAAATAGGACTAGTTCATCCGAGTTGTATTGTATAGATGATACTTGGTATTATGGCATCTTACCCTCTACTGCCCAAGACCGTCTTTTGGTGGAGTATAGTTAAAGAGCTGGGCCAACAAGAAATCCAATTGTTTAACAAATGTTGCGCCAATGGTTGGACTTAAGTTAAGTTTTCTTTATTAATGAGGCTTTCAGCCTGGGGCTGGAATTAGTACAACCGTTAGTGAGAAAATAGAAAATAAATTAAAAATCGTTGTTTACATAAACTGCTTTAGACAAGCTAAATTGATCTAGATAAAAATAATTTCCTTATTTTAGTTTTAATTTTCTTGGAGCTCTTTTGAAAGAAAGCATGCAGGATAAAAAAAATAGGAAGCAGAGAGTTAATTATCGATTTTCGATTTAATGATCAATTTGATCTACTGGTGCCATCGGTCTAATAACGTTTAACTTAGGTGCATTCAATAAAGCCATTAGCCAGCTTTATTGAAGCCTGGCTACGCTTTTTAAGTAGACAATAGACATAAGCTCTTGTTTGATCTTTGATGACAAGGATTAATAAATCTAATTTGAAGAAATACTAATAATTAAGAAGGAAGAACACTTTAAAGCTGCAAATTTTAACGGCATAAGATTCCACGATTGAAAAAACCGCGATAGAATCTTCTAAGAAGGAAGCTAGAAGAATATCCTAAATAAATCAATCTAAGATCAGTTCATAGAGGAATCCCCAGAAGTGTAATGACTTACACAACATAGTTAAGATGCATAACTCAGTCTTAGTAGTTCTAAAACACTGCGACAACCTTTTCCTACTGATGTAAACATCCATTCATGCAAACCAGCAACTTGTAAGAAATGTTGCTTACAAAAATTGACATACAATTTATGGAATATCTCCTTATATGTCTCATAAATTTACACGATCTATAATGTAAACTTAAATAATATATGACATTCCATTTATGTGCACCATAGTAACGAAAATTTACACTACCTTTTGTGAGGTATCGCGGCCTCCGTTCATCAACGGCGCAAGGTGTCACAACTTTGTCACCACCAGAAGAGTGATAATTCGCAATAACTCACCACCACTAGTTCCCGAAAAGGCGAATGCGAGAGCACTATTGTGCATAAATCAATTACCGTCCTGTGTATTGTGGGCGAGATGAGAGGTCGTCCGCTAACTTTTGCATGTATATGGGTAGGTACCTACTTATAGGTGTCGGCGCATATACACTCCACATGGATACTTTACGAAGAGAAATGTGTTCCTTACCGCGGCACGCAGTTTACGGTACGCAATTCACTTTAATCGTACTCTTGATCTGAATTTAATGCCGTGTGCCCTCCATGGAACATCACACATATAAATTTCGTTCAACTCGATTGGGACAAAAGCTTGTTAAACAAATCTTCGATTTAATTGAGTCATTTAATGTGTGGAGCCAATCCACGACAAATAGGTTTAAATGGGATGGCACGCAAGCAAGGAAGAAGTGTGAAAGAATATTTTAGTGAGTTGTTGCGGCGTTGCACACGAATGGCAAGGATTGTAGCAGGAATTGTACGGCCCATAATCCATTAGCATTGATTTTTTATGGAGTGCCGTGTATCGTTGCTTTGTAGTACGCAGTACGATTATTGCCTAGTCTAAGACATTATGGGGCACAGAAAAGAAAATAATGCATCCCAGATACACGCCGATGGAGGTTAATTTCAAGTGGGTGCACTATTTATGTGATCGAAAATAATAATCAAGAATTGAAGTTGCCGTTGAAATGCGTTCCTGTAAAAAAAAAACAAAAGCCATCCTCCAAAAGCAATTCATCTTCAAATTTATCCAAGTGTCAAATTTCTGTACTATATAGACAATCTTAGTTTTTTTTTTAATATTACCAAAAAAGTCAACCATACCTATTAAAAATCCAAATGAAATATGATCTATCGTTTTAAATTACTGGAATAAAACTAACAGATTAACTGCAGTATTCAACCAAGTTTGTATCTCCCACGCGCTTAGCGTTTGCAGACATGTTAGACTCAAATCGACACCTTGTATTCAAATTGACCAAGCTTTTGCTATCATGATATCTCGCTTTTCATCTCTGCCGTTGAATTGAATCGTAATGAAGTGAGAAGATAAATATCGCCCCTCTAACAACGAGCGAGCGAAAACCGAATTGAACTTGAACTAGAGACTGGTGTTTTCGCGCTTCAAAACCATTCTGGTTCCCCAATTTAGCGCATATGCCCGTGTATGAATGAATAAAATACCAACATCAACAAACAAAACTACTCACTCTATTTGGCTTGTCGCGGGCGGGCGCGGACGGTGCTTTGTTGGTCGCCAATAGCGCATGTAAACAGCGAATTCACGCTTTCGCCGCCGCGGTGGTCCTAGCAACCGACCAATCATGGATGACATAAAATTTCAGTGTGATCGATAGAAAATTTAGAATATCATCATCGTACCACGGTTGATTGATGAAAGATCGATTCTAAAAAAGTCTAGCCAAATCTAATATCAATTGGGAAAATGTTGGGTGCCGATGGTATGAAGCAACTCCAGAAGCTGTTGAAATCAGGAAACGGAGAAAGTGATTCTGAAGATGAGAATGAAGCATTCCGGGCCGGAGGTGCTCAGCAATTAGGTAATATCTTATTCGGAGTACTCTTTAAAATAAATTTAATCTGATGTAATCGGTTCTTTTGCATAGGTCCGGGAGATATCGGTGCATTAAAGAGCGCTAAACAAAAAAAGAAGCATAACGAAAAACCCGACGAACACGTGAAAAGCTGTTCGTATGCTCCGCTACAAAAGCCAGAGTCAACCGGACCCAACACTATCGAAGAATGGGAAAAGCAACAGGAAGCAGAATGTGAAAATCTACTGGAGTCCCGTCCGCAGCCCGAGTACAAAATATCCTACAAGCAAACCGTCGGTACGGAGGACCTTTTCCTACAGATGAACGGGAAAACTCCCAGTACTGCTAGCTGTGAGAACATGATCGTCGAAGTCTTCCTAACCGGCGAAAAGGGAGTTGGGATACACCACATCGATCTGACCGTTCGAGAGCAACAGGTACTGGTCAAATCACCCAAATACTTTCTGGATTTACAACTCCCGCACAGGATCGATCCCGACAAGGGAAACGCCGCTTGGCTGTCAGAGGAAAAGATCCTCAAACTCACGCTCAAGATGGAACGAGAGTATGACTTTGTCAACTTTTGAACTTGACCTACACTAGGTATTTACAGTCGACACCCAATTCAATTGAACTAATTTACGTTGTGCATCGTGAGATAGTCACTTTTTATTACGCTGTGTATGGCAAAGGGAACGTGTTAAATACAAGCAAAAGATGAAGTGTTTTTCTATCATTTAAATGGGTGGCACATGTGGGTAATAAATAAAGTTTTAGTTAACATTGTAACCTATTGTAACTGTTTCATATATGAATTGCATTAATCTTTGATAAATGATGATTAAATTGGATGTGATTGATTAAACTAGAGGTGAGAGCTGCAGTGTTCATTGTAGTCTGTGATCAGTTTGTTTTCATTTGTGTGCATGTTTCAAGTCTGCTTGCTTGCGTTTCGCTTCATCAGCATTGGCGTAGCATATCAGCATATCCGAAACTCAATATGAAACATGAATAAAAAGAACAAAAATTATAAGCATTGACAGTTGAATATTTTCCTCGCTACCAGGATCTCTGAGTAAGTAAATAGGTAATAAAAGTTTGCGAACTTCAGACACAGTTACCGAACGTTGAAACTTTCCCGACAAGTACACAATTTGAAAACATTACTGACGAGACGAAACAAATCAAGCGTATACCTTGAACATCCATCTTGAAGATGAATGAGAAAGATGTGGAATTACAACGGTTATGTGAAATTATTCAAAGATAAAAGTCAGATCCGGAGTAATTTTTGATTGAATCGTATATAACAAACGTAAACAATTTGATATTTTAATGCTACCAGACTCTACTCTACTTACTCTTCTAGAGGCAACATTTTGATTCGCTACCTCATTTTTGTTTCATTTGCTCATCAAAAAAAATATTTCTAGATAGAGCTGGAATTAGGGCGTAACAGCTTTTGTAAACAATGACTTCTCTCGATGATTTCTCGGAAGTCATGGCTCTCCCTGGCAAGTCAACATCACCATCGAGTAGAGGAAGACTTCTCCTACCCGATGGATATGTTGGTTTGTGTAGGCGTACCTTGAACTCCGAGAAATCAACAAGAGAAGTCATTGTTTACAAAGGCTGTTACGCCCTAATTCCAGTTCTATCTAGATTTGTCGTATGTGCCAACCGAACAAAACATAGCTAATATTACATACGAAGCGTAAAAACTGTACGTACCGGCGAAGCAGTTGTTTTTCCTAATAAAAGTGTAAATTTTACAAATCTTCAATGCAAAACGGTTGCGGTTGGTCCATAAAATTATAACTAAGTTATCCGTGATCATGCGCACGATCGTTAAGTTATCATTATAATACATGCGCACGATCGCACCACAACATGCAAAAGGTTGTATAATATAGATTGGTTGAAAAACGCTTATTTTTTTATCATGAATGCTATCAATACCTTACTCAGTCCATAGAAGCCCTCTTGAGTTGTTAGTAAATTGGAATTTTTAAAGAATTATCCATAAACCAATCTCGAAATAGGGGTCCAGATTCTAACTTGACATGTTGTCAAATACATAGGATAGATAACGGCTTTAGCCTCCCGAGGCCCTATTCCTAAAGAAAATTAATCGAAAATCTTTCTAAAAGCTGCTCTATGATGTGAACTATCATGCTGCAGAAAATGAACGTTGAAAGATATTGAACATTTTCACAAACACCATCATAGAAATTTGACAAAGATGATTGAGTAAACGATTCATGCATGTATTTTCACAAGCGATTTGTTTAACTATATTCTCATCCTTAATTCTCTAGATCTACGTAATGTATGCATTTGAAAATACGCATAAAATTAAATTATTAGATCTTAACAACTTCTGGATGATGAGATCTGAGACCATGAAAACGCAAAGTAGATGACCTCCACCAATCGTGTGCTTATTTACAAAGCAATTGCCAATTTACAAAGCAATTCCCAATAAACAATTCAGAGTCACAAATAAGCATATATATTGAATAAATGCTGTATAGCAGTGTACAATGCTGAATAAAGAGGGTTGTTGATATATGTGCTGAAAACACCTCATTTGCGATGATGCGCCGATATTCCGCTGGTTGCTCTGATCTGATTAATTTACTTATTAAAAGCTTTATAAACGTTGACTGTCTTCTTGATTCGACAATAGAAGTTTGATCTAATAACAAACTGAATAAGAGAAATTTGAACATACAATGACGCTCTAATTCAACTGTTTTGCAATTGATTTAATAACATGCTTTATTAGACGTCTTACAAATGTTTTCTAGCTCAATTATTAGATTTCATTGCCACCAGCCAAAACTTTGCATCTGGTATGTATTCGGGTAAAAAATCCCGAAATTCGGAATTTTCGGGAAATGACCCTCTTTAATATATTAGTTATTTCTGATCTCAGCTTTTGATAGATTTTATATAAACCAGAATCATCAAGCACAAATCCAGTGTTGCCAAAAATGAGAAGGTACTGTATGATGAAACGTGGATAACAATTCAAACCCGTACGACCTATTATTTCTGATAGGGTTCGACTTTGTGACGTTCGCAATACAGCCATTCCATAGCAAAACGATATAGTGACTCTCAGAATTTCGATAAAAATTGTAGTTTTGTTTTTTTATCGCAAAATATTAGACTCGTATTTATTTTAGTTTGTTATTAGGGTGACCATTTATATGCTAGGGTGGTCCAAAACATATATTTTTTTCCAAAAAATACTTTTTTCAAAAAATCATAACTTTTGAACCACTGGAGTATTGAGCGAAACCCCAAAACTTGATAACTTTATTAAATTGTAACGCAAAATCGAAAAAAAACACATCGCTGATTGTGTGATATAATGTGTAAAAAAGCCTAATTTTTCAATTAAAACTATAAAAACATATTGTAACATGAAAACCAGAAAAAAAATACAATCAATATTTTTCAATATATAATTTTGAATATCATTATATATTTTTCTAAAAAGTATTTTTAATTACATTTCATTTGATATTTTGATCTCTAAAATTGACCCAGTGGTTCAAAAGTTATGAATTTAAGAAAAACAGTCATTTTTGGAAAAAAAAAAACACATATTTTGGAAAAGACCCTCTTTCATATATTATTTATTTCTGATCCCAGCTTTTGATGAGTTTTATATAAACCAGAATCATCAAGCAAAAATCCAGTGTTGCCAAAAATGAGAAGGTACTGTATGATGAAACGTGGATAACAATTCAAATCCGTACGACCAATTATTTCTGATAGGGTTTGACTTAGTGACGTTCGCCATACAGCCATTCCATAACAAAACGATATAGTGGCTCTCAGAATTTCGATAAAAATTGTAGTTTTGTTCCCTATCGCAAAATATTAGACCCATATTTATTTTAGTTTGTCATTAGGGTGACCATTTATATTTTAGGGTGGTCAAAAAAAAGATTTATTTGTTTCCAAAATGACTTTTTTCAAAAAATCATAACTTTTGAACCGCTGGAGTATTGAGCGAACACGCAATACTTGATAACTTCAAAAAAATATAACTCAAAATCGAAAAAAAAAAACGAATCGTTGATTTTGTGATACAATGTGCAAAAGAAGCGTAATGTTTCAAGGAAAAATATAAAAACATATTGCACCCTCTGTCTACAAACCATAAAACCAGAAAAAATACAATCAATGTTTTTCAATAAAAAATCTCAACTTCTCAATATCATTATATATTTTTCTAAAAAGTATTTTTAATTACCTTTCATTTGATAATTTGATCTTTAAAATTTTCCCAGTGGTTCAAAAGTTAAGAATTTATCAAAAAAAGTCATTAAAAAAAACCGATTTTTTGGACCCTAATGACAAAATAAAAAAAATACGGGTCCAATGTTTTGCAATAAGAAACAAAACTACAATGTTTACGAAATTCTGAGAACCACTATATCGTTTTGCTATGGAATGGCTGCATAATGACTCATACTATGATATCTAAATTTCTTACAAAACTATTTTTAAAACACTTCCTTTTAGAAATGGACAGTGGTACATGACCTCCCACCCACCAGACAAATATCCATGACCATCGTAGGACCACACTGTGATACGTAAACACTCTTCTGTAACGATAGTTTAACTTGTTTAAATTATCGTTTTATTTTATTTGTTAGTTTTTATATATAAATACAGCTTTTTATATAATAGACTATCCCTTTTCGATTTTTCTTAGTTGCTTTACTTACGATTCACATCGTTTTTCTTTTTTCTTTTTCTTTTTTGGTTTTACTGTCTCCTCTCCTGTTTAGTTTCCATTCCATTCTAAACAATTTTTGACTTGATTTTGATTACAATTTAAATAATAAAAGTGAATGACTTAAGTCAATATTAAGGTAAATTTCCTCTTATTCAAAACCGTTCACCTGCTTACATTTCTAGTCCAATATTTACAACTTCCGTACAAAACATATTTATTACTATATAAAACAAAATCACGGCCCATTCGTTTCACTTGACTCATTGTTCTTACTAGTAGCTTTTTTTCCTTATTCCCTCTATTAACATAGATCTACGAAAAACAGATTTTTTTTTTTTCCATTTATACAGGTTTTCTCTACAGACCAACGATCATCGTTAGTGAAAATTAAAAAGAACAAGATATCTATTTTTTCAAATGATCCTTCTTAATGTTCTGCGCGAGACGATGTCAAGTTAACGGAGAATAAGTTCCTTTTTTTCTACTGGAAACGTTTCATGTTAACGACATTCTTGACTTTTCTTACGTATCCTTCCAAGCTTGAAAGACATTTCACTCGGCATTAAAACAAATTCCACGGTTCATCGTATCCTGCTGGCCTCCACATCACTCTTCACATTTTAAAAATGTACAATTAACGTTTGTGCGAATGCTTCTTGCTTCACCTGCATGTTATACTTGCATTCCCATATTTTCATCACAATTTAGATATTAAGGATGACTAGCCTTACTGATTGGTGAAGTTGGCTTATACCACTGAACGTATATTTCGCTTAAAAGTCTTAGTCCATAAACTATCTAGGATATCTAGTTTTGTTTTTATGTACGCCAA